GATTTTTAAAAAAAATGTACGGATCTTTAAAAAAATGTACGGATTGGTTTAAAAAAATGTACGGATTGTACGGATTTTTTTTTTAAAAATTGTACGGATTGTACGGATTGTTTTTCGATAATTGTACGGATTGTACGGATTTCTTCTGAAAATGTACGGATTTTTGTACGGATGGGTTCAAAAAAGTTTTGGCCACCCTGAATGTCTCAAATTGTACGGATTTTCAGGATTTTTGCCCGGAAAAACATTTTTTTTCGACTTTGACTCAACAAAAGCTAATTTTTGCACTTAATCTTCATTCCTAATTATAATAGGTTGATTGTTGTATCAATTGACAATCTAATTTAATCTTTCTTTATGCAATATGGGGAAGTGGGGGGGTGATTTTAGATGAAAGGGAAATACTAAGGTAAAATTTTATAATAAATGAATTTGTCAACTACTTTTTAGTGAGAAAAACACTCCTATGCAGGAGGGCGCAAGTTCATCTTCTTACCTAACACATCTGATCTTAACCTTTGCTCATAAATCCCAGAGGGGGCAGGCCCCCCTGGGATGCGCAGGGGTGCAAAGAGAACTACTTCCCACCTTCCCCCCCCCGTTTATGCGTCTAGAAAAAGTTTTACCTCTCACGTACAAATGTACGGATTGTACGGATTTTTATGTGCGGATTGTACGGATTTTTCCAAAGTTTTGGCCACCCTCAGTATTTTTTATATTATCACTTTTAATATTACATATTATTGATTTTACTTTTATTGACATTTTTTGGATTAATTGCTGTTATTATTATTATTATTTTTATTAATTTTACTGGTATTGTTTTTATGTCATTATTGTTACGAATTTCATTATTTTCATTATTATTTTATTAATTTTTTATTATTTTATTAATTTTACTTTTATAATTAATAATTATTACTATATTGTAAATTTATTAGTATTTTCATTGCTAATTATTTATTATTTGGATGCTCTTGTGTAGGAGGAAAATGACCAGGAGGAGATAGACGATGATGAAGATAATGCTATTGCTGAACACATTGAAGCACAAGTCAGAAACTACTCAAATGCCCTTGGTAAATACTTGGGGTGTTAACTTTCAGGGTCACTTTTGGTATAGACATAAGGTCGCCAATCGCCTTTCCTCCAATCTATTTTAATGCTTATTTTTTAAACAAGATTTCTAACCAATGACATTTCACTTTATCCTTAAGGTTTTTTTTTTATTTCTCCAAAAAAGTTTAAATATAAAAAATCAACGCATAACCCTGTGTATTCTGAGCTGAAAACTTGAGAATAGTGGATATCGAGATCAATTCTTTAAGGTCATATGTTTACTATTCTTCAGATTAATTTAATCTTGCATTAACGTTTGGGAAAATCTCAAAAGTATAACCAATCAGAGTGACGATTTTAGTAACCGAAAAGCCAATTAGAAGCCGAGAAATTTTGAAATTTTGGCACGCAACTCTGATTTGTCCGAGCCCAGAGCCCGCGATTTAAAAACTTCGGCTCGAGCCGTAATTCCTTAAACCCGACTTTAAGACCCAATCTTCGACCCAACTATGACGACAGCTTGTGTCACGTGATTGACAGCTGCGAGATCTTAGGCTCGACTTAAGGAGTTAAGCCCAATGAAAATAAAACCGACCTTGGTTGGTTTTAGTGGAGAATAAGGCTCAATGTTGGGTCTTATTCTCATCAAAACCCGGAATGCACCAATTCCAACTATGAAAATCCGCCAAATACAACATTAAACCGGTTTTATGAACTAAATTCTGTTGACAAATAGATGCAACTTAAATTTGAAAACCCGAGCCGTAAATAAGGCTCAACAACAGCTTAGACCCGAGTCGTATTTTCTTGAATTTTTTAAATCGCCGGCTCAGGACGAAATTATTTAGTTAAAATTAAGCCTGCATGTTCATTGTTCAGGACGAAATTAATTAACCCTACATGTTCAGGACGAAATTAGTTAACCCTACATGTTCAGGACGAAATTAGTTAACCCTACATGTTTAGGACGAAATAAATTAACTTTACATGTTCAGGACGAAATTAATTAACCCTACATGTTCAGGACGAAATTAATTAACCCTACATGTTCAGGTCGAAATTATTTACTTATAATTAAGCCTGCATGTTCATTGTTCAGGACGAAATTAATTAACCCTACATGCTTAGGACGAAATTAATTAACTTTACATGTTCAGGACGAAATTAACTAACCCTACATGTTCAGAACGAAATTAATTAACCCTACATGTTCAGGACGAAATTAATTAACACTACATGTTCAGAACGAAATTAATTAACCCTACATGTTCAGAACGAAATTAATTAACCCTGCATGTTTAGGGCGAAATTAATTAACCCTACATGTTCAGGACGAAATTAATTAACCCTACATGTTCAGGACGAAATTAATCAACCCTACATGTTCAGGTCGAAATCAATTAACCCTACATGTTCAGGGCGAAATTAATTAACCCTACATGTTCAGGAAGAAATTAATGAACCCTACATGTTCAGGACGAAATTAATTAACCCTACATGTTCAGGACGGAACTATTCCCCCCTGTCCTTTAGTCAAGTCATCTCTACCAGCCCGCCTAGAGTTGGGAACAATGGAGAACTAGATCTTAGAATATCAGGTCAGATAATTAAAATTACTGTTCACTTAGTTTTCACCCCTTGCTGCACATATATACACTACAATGTACATTGTACATTGTACATTGTACATTGTACATTGTACTGAACTTCAATTATTGGGAATCGAAAATGTATTAAAAAATATTTGACAGAAACCTTCTCGGCAGTATATTCATATGCAATAGACCTAGCCAGGGATGTATGCGCAAATATATTTTTAAGGGTTTTATTCTCTTGAAAAATGGGAAAAATAAATTAAATTTGGGGGGGAAAACAATTAATTTTTGGGGGGAAATGAATTAATTTTTGGGGGGAAAGTTTAAAAAACGAAAATAGTTGCCTTTTGATGTCTTAATTTTTCATTTATTTTGCCTGCAAGTAATTCTGAGGCACTTCTTTCTTACGTACCTAAAATAGTTGTCTCACAGACTTGTTATTTCTATATTAGGACTCTGGGAATCTAGGAGAATGGGAAAACCTGCCCAACTAAAAAGCTGTGTTTTTTGAGACACCCTAATATATACCTCTGGACTTAGCGTACCTTTATACACTTTTTTTTAGTCGCTCAACATTTTCCTTTTCAACATTTTAAACGAAAACAATCAAAATGTTATATGTTTTTTTAATTGGTGAATTTCCTAATAAAACGGATGGAATGGTATGGTTACAAAGAAACAGACAGACAAAACACATTTGTATATATAGAAACAGTATCCTTGTTACCGTATGTACTCAACCATTGTATATATGTACAGGAAGTACAGTGCAAACTATCACGATGTACTTAAATATTGGATTTATGTATATGAGGTGCTACAGCGCAAACTATCACCTTGCACTCAACCATTGTATTTATGTACAGAAAGTACAGCGCAAACTATCACGATGTACTTAAATATTGGATTTATGTATATGAGGTGCTACAGCGCAAACTATCACCTTGCACTCAACCATTGTATTTATTTACAGGAAGTTCAGCGCAAACTATCACTATGTACTCAAACATTGTATTTATTTACAGGAAGTTCAGCGCAAACTATCACTATGTACTCAAACATTGTATTTTTTTACAGGAAGTTCAGCGCAAACTATCGCCATGTACACAACCATTGTATTTATGTACGGAAGGTGCTACAGCGCGAACTATCGCAATGTACTCAACCATGTATTTATGTACAGGAGGTGCTACAGCGCAAACTATCTCCATGTACTCAACCATGTATTTATTTATGTGCATGATGTGCTACAGCGCAAACCATCACTATATACATTAAAATTGTATTTATTTACAAGAAGTACAGCTCAAACGTTGGCCATTGTATTTATGTACAGGAGGTGCTATAGCGCAAAATATCACTATGTACCTAAACTTTGTATTTATGTACAGGAGGTGTTACAGCGCAAAATATCACTATGTACTTAATCATTGTATTTATGTACAGGAGGTGTTACAGCGCAAAATATCACTATGTATCTAAACTTTGTATTTATGTACAGGAAGTGCTACAGCGCAAACTATCACTATGTACAGTGGACACCAGGATCACGGTGTGAATAAATCTAAACTGAAACCAGGTGATGAACACAAGATATAACTTATCAATTCAACACGGTCAGAAATGTGGAAAATAACGTCTTCTTTCGGACACGAAAAGTGTTTATTTCTGATAAATTCTCAAGTCTTTCTCATACGCAAGAAATGCGCAAATCACTTCTGCAGAAAAACCTAAAATGAAAATAAAAAGTTTTCAAAAACAAAAAAATTGAATAATTCATACTTGAGCAGACTAAGCTTTAATGATACTGTTGTAAATCGGGCATTGGCATCTTTGCATGAAAGTTCACATAAATAATAACCCTAGGGATATAAATAGATTTTTTTTGGTATGAGAAAATGATTTTAAAAGAAAATTAGTTTTTAAACTTTAAATTGTAACATTAATTCTTGATCAAGTTTATCATATAAATAGTAAACACATAATCTGCCGTCCGCAGTATTTGCAGAAATAGTTAAACAACTGTTACTACTTTTGTGTTTTTTAGTTTGTGTTATTTTTGATTATACTGGTATTGATATTTTCAACAACTTTAATTTTATTTTTTCTTTGTGAAAAGTAGACTAGACTCCATTTTTATTGATGAGTTTTAAGGGTCGGATGATTCAGGGGATAGAATACATGATTTGTCTCTAAAATCCAGCACCTCTCCGCTCAACCTAGCTCCATCCACTGCTCATTCCCGACCCGGAGTTAATCCTCAACCTTCCTCCTTCTCCTCCAACCCTGCTCCAGTATCCTACTCATCAGCTCAACCCAGCTCACTACTCACAATACCCTTCAGCAGCTCGGCAAATTTGTTCTCTGGAACACAGCTCATTAGTTCCAGTGTTCCATATTCTAGTCGTTCCATCACAACCGTTCCATACTCACCACAGCTTCACAATTCACAGGTAAAATAAAAAAATTTTAATTTAGATAGCAAATTAACAAAAAAAAATTTTTGAATATCGATTTTTTCTCACTCGAATTCAATCCTAAAATTATCTCAAAGTTCTTTACAAAGCATGATACTTAAATGACGACGCTTCATTCTTTAAAATAAATGTGTGCACACCGAATTTAAAGACTGAATAAATTCCGTAAATTCGTCTCAAAATGCTCATCGTTTGTGAATAGCGTAACATAACCCTGTAACCTAGCCGACAGGAAATTGTCACAAACACTGATCTTTTCTGAAAATTCAAACATAAGTCCTGAAATTAACCTGAACTGAAACCCGATTTGTATTAAGTATGAGGAGGGCAAAAATAGTGTGGTAAAAATGTTCTAAGTTCAAACATCCCTCCCTCCCAATTTTTGAAAATCAATTCGCCAGGGGTGGGGGAGGGGGCTACTTTTTATACCCTTAAAAACACCTAATCAAATTAATACTCGACTTGATTTTTCAGGATATTATGGAGAACGGTTCAGCTCTAAACTTCTCTAAGAAGAAGAATGATCAAATAAACGAAGATGAGAAGGAAGAAGAAAATGAACCTGAAAGTGACGAAGACGATGATAAACTTGTCATAAAGGAATAGACGATTAGACGATTAGAGAATTAAAGGATTAGATTAAATCTCAGGAGCGCAATGGCATCCATGACAAATTCTTGAAACATCCAAATGACAAACTCTTGAAACGACTCCTGAAGAGACAAACTCCTGAAAAACAAACTCATAAAGACAAACTTCGAAATTACAATCTCCTGAAGAACAAACTCCAGAAATACAAACCATTAAAAGACAAACTCATGAAAGACAAACTGTGAAAATAGAAACTCTTGGTTCAACTCTTGAGCTAAAAAAGAAACATTCTGTTAAGACTTCTTCTAACTTATAACATCCCAAAAATATAAATGTTTTATAGAAGCTGTTCATGCTGTTAAGAAGTAAGATGATCTGGCCCCTTGATCATAGTGGGTTCTGAAGGACCTTGATTAAAAATATATATAAAAATTAAAAAAATTAAATTACAAATTTACTGTCCTCTCACGAAACTGGAGCTTTGAGTCCAGTTTCTCCGAGAACCTCCAACCCTAGAACTTTTCTAGATTAGTTCTCTTCAAGAGTATAAGATACAGATTGATTAAAACAAAATTTCTAGCAGAAATACACAATCTTCACAAGGATAAGGAATTCTTATTGTTTGTCAACACGACGATTGAGCCCACTGTTTCGCCAGAATATAAGGGGGGACAATGGACATGTCAACAGTCCTTCATTGGAGGAGACTATTTGACGAACTAAAGGTGATTCAAGAGTCAGTCTTGTGGGACTTAGTTATGACACCATCAGGGGTAGTGGAAACCCATTGAGATTGGAGCATGCCTGAGGGCATATATCTGTGCCTGAGACGGTACGATTTAACTTCTTTGCCCCTCTGATTCTCTAAATGTAATGCAATGTTGTGTAAGTCATTGTGTCAAAAAAAAACTACAAAGTAATGCAAAAAGTCAGGGGTGGATATTTTCTAGAATTTTGATGAAAAATGAAAAATAGGACGTCAAAAGGCAAGTTTTTTCAGTTTTTTTTTTATACTTTTAACCCAAAACTTTATTAATTTATTAAAAATCGCGAAATCAGCGAATAAAACTCTAAAAAATATTGCGCTAACATGCTTAACTTATAGGAAATAAAATTAATTTCAAGAAGGGGGGTTGGGGGTAGTTTTAAAGAAAATATACACCCTGCAAAAATGTAAAGTAGTTGATTTACTTAAGCTAAAAAAACTTCCAGAAGAAATTCTGCGGAGAAGCATTTTTCGGAATGTCTTCATTTACAAATCAAAAATTTTATTGAAAAAAACGAACTAATTATGAGGGGGTTTAGCATTTATTTGTTATTATAATCTATGCCATACTATAATGTTAAATGTATGTATTTGCAGTATTTTTATTTTGTTACATAATAAATTAACTGTTGTATTAGATATCCGTTTTATAAAGCATTCATGTTTGTATTTATGTATTCAAATGTAATGTACAGGGTGTCCCAATAAACATGGGAATTCAGTGACGATTTTGATTTTTTGAGTTAGTATGGGGTTATCTAGGAAAGCTATGATCCGTCTGCTTGAGTTCAATTCAGAATTTGTTTGTTTTTTTATTGCATACTGTGTTGTAATTAATGATCTCGTGTTTATCTTGCAGAAATGTTATAGAACATCATGCAACGTTTTGCATAAAAACGTTTGCACAAAATATACTCAAGCAGATGTAATGATTTTAACCATTGAAATTAGGTAACACAACGCTAATTATTTGCAAAGACTATTTCGAATTCGTCTCTCAATTCCCATGTTTATTGGTACACCTTTGCTGGATATGGATAGTCTAGGTAAGCCCAGGGGAATTTCAACCTAGAAAATCGAAGGAATTGGAAATGAAACTGAGTTTTTCTTTTTCATAAGTTTCAATAATTATCACCATATCTCTCTGTTTCCTTATTCCTAAATTTTGTAATTAAGGTCAGAGCTGAAAACTTTAGAATGGTGGTTATCGAGATCATTGCTTGATCTCCTCTTTTCCTCAATGTCCAGATTAAAGTAAATGTTTTATGAATTTTCCGATTCAACTTTTATTTAGATGTGTAAATTCTTATTCATTCTAATTTCCTTGAATGAAATCCACGAATTTTCCTGAGAAATCCGCGAATTTTAGATTCAAAATGTGCTCCGACAGATATTTTCTAGGAATTATTGCAACGGTTTCTTTGGGATGTTCCTTAGCATATCTCTTTCTCTTCTCTATCCCACACTCGTCTTGGATCCCGGTTAGTCCTGGATGGCAGGAAATTTCGTTAAACATTGTTGTTGCTGCTTCTAATAACTTGACTTGGACTCCCGAGGATGACCGATATTTATTACTCAACAGTTTTGCCAGCGCACTGGGAGCCCTTGGCTTCAACAGAGACAAGGTCAAGAAAATGATAACATTTATTTGTTTAAATGTGTTTATGATTATAATTTTTTATTAGGTGTACAACCAACTTTTCAACTCGTGGGCTGTTCTTTTGACATTTACATCTGTGTTTAATCTGATCAATGTTATTGCCTGTATTCTCATCTATTTTTACGTCTTCAAATTTTATCAGGTATAAAATATCGTTTTCAATGAAACTTCATGATAATTCAATTACTATACATCAAAAGATTTAAGTTTTTAAAAACTATTTTATTTTTGTTTTAAGCCAAGGTACAGGTTTCTCCTTCTGCCCTGGATTATACTAGCATGTTTAGTCTTTATGTTCCTTGGGGCTGTTCTAGGAAACTGTCATTTCAAGTTTAAGTAGAGAATATAAAGTACTTAGAATTGCAAAAATTATCGGAAATTTGATTGTTTTTGATCATTGATTTAAATAGCGTGATATCATTAAAGATTTGAAAATATTTATTTGGTTGAATTAGGGGGATTGTAATTTCAAGTAACCATCATTGTAATATTCAAAAGGTTGCTCTTTAAATCTCTTTCTGAGCAACAAAGATCGGCGTTTTCTATCTAAGAAAGTGTGGAATTCTGTTAATTTACTTCATTATCACCGTTCTATAAATGCGCAAGTCAATTATCATTTATCGAGAAACCCAAATTGAAAATAATCAGTTTTTAGCGAGACAAATATCTTGTTCATCCTGCAATACAAACAAAGATTTAGTGGGTACCATTGTGCATCAAACATTCCAATCAATAAATTACGGGTCACTTGAAATCATATGTCTCTTTAAGAACTTAAAATGATAGTTTAAAATTCAGTGATTATGCTCTACTACCTTTCTGACAGAGCCAGGATTATTGCTGAAATACGAGAAACAAAACTTAACTATTACAAGGTAGGTACAGTGAATCCCAGATATATGAATACATAGCTAGAGTTTTTTTTAATGTCGTATTACATGATCGGGGGAAGGCAGGCGGCCATGAGCCACCACTATTTTCCCTTCCGTACCACATATTAGCTTTTTTCTCTTCCGGCAGCAATGAGCCACCACTATTTCCCCTTCCGTACCACCACATTTGACTCTTCCGGGCAAAACTACATTTTTAAATGGTATATTTAGGGCCTTTAAAGTGTGATTTTAAAAAATCACAAAAGCACAACTCAAACCATTTTTCAATTCTACTTAAGATTAATATTTTGTGTGTTGAATTATTAAACTGTTTTACAATGAACTTTTTTACAAATTTGACTGAGTATTGCATCTTTAAATATCTCAAAGTCTATAAATGATTATTCAATTACTGACTCATTATACTAAATCCATCTTAAAATCCAGAGGCGCAACTAGGACTTTTGCTAAGGGGGGGCAATATATTATTTTGTTAGGGTTCGGGGGGGGGTTAAGGGGGGGTTTCCCCCCTTTTTTGAAAAAAAGGAAATTTTAAGTTGTTGCATGCAGATTTGGCTGTGTTCAATTCAAATCGATTTGTTGTTCTTGTGTTTTTACAAAAATTATACTTCCAACAGCTGTAAAATGAATGATATGAGTCAATTCATTGAATATGTGTGCGAATCGCAAAAGAGTATTTTTAAGTACCTGGTTTAATTACAGATTAAATTGCAAGAAATAATCATTTATAGTTTCTGGAAAAAAAAACATAAAAATACATAGGTAAATAATAATTTCAATCATCTACATTGAAAAAGGACAGCTATTGTTACCTTTTCTCTTGAAGTTATTGAATTAATGATTGATCTAACCAACATTCATAATCTAAATTCATTTTCGATTTTACAGAACTTCTGTCAAAGAAGATTAATCTTGTTAGTTATCAAATATGAAAATCAGCTAGAAATTTGCCAGGTTCAGAATTTTCTCTAGATTTGGAACTGAGTTTTTGCCACAAACTCAAATATGCTAATCCCTAAATCTTGGCACCGAGTGGTGTAAACATTTGATATTTCAAACTTGGAATATTTACCATAAGAATTCAAAGTTTGATATCTACGAGTACTCTATAAACTCAACACAAATAAAATGCAGTTCAGAACTTTTTTTTACATTAAATGTTTACAATACCCTTTAGCCTTGAGAATTGAGAAAGATAAAATTATTCTTTTTAAAACTAACTATAGTATAATAAAATTTCTACAATAACTCTATTGGTTTTCTTATTCCTGTGATACTGATTTTCGCCATTCTTTCTTTCTTTTCATTCTGCAGGGGGGGGGGGGCGCCCCCCCCCCCCTCCGGTGCTAGGGGAGGGGCCGCGCCCCGCCCCCCCCCCCCTAGTTGCGCCTCTGTTAAAATCACTCATTAACCAATAAAAGTCGCATTACCTAGTGGGAGACCCTGTACAGTCATTGCCGCTTTTTATATAGAGATTACTCATAAGGATGAGACTGTAAAGACGACCTAAAACTCTTGACTACTTTATGGTTGAATTAAGCTCTCCGCATGGAATATAGTTTTTCTATGGTTTATTTGGCAAAGAAAGAAACAAGATCAGAGTTGCATGGAACCATGAGTATAATAAACAGACAATTATAAATTCCTTAAAATCATCTCTAAAGTCTCCTTCTTTATGAATGAAAATAAACCAATTTCAATATTTATTATTATTAATTGTTTCTTATCCATTGTACTGTACTGTTTAGGCTGTAACCCTGCTAATAATATTTGCAACTGTTCACTATGCTTCCTTTTTACTTTCTGTTCTACACTATCTGGAGGCCGAGGAAAAAGCAGCATATATTTGGAATATTAATAGACAAGGTGCTAAATCTGAAAAATTAATTTTCCATTAAAACATGTCTTCAGTTTTTACAGTCCTATTCTAAATAATCTGGAAAAATATAAATTGATTGATTTATGACTTCAAAGTCGTCTTTGATTTTAGATTTATAAAAAGACTTTATTTCATTACTCCGTAGGAACCATAACATTGCATAATCAATGTCGACTCTCTATTTCATTTTGTTTTCTTTTCTTTTTGTTAATTTGATATACAGGGTGTCCCAATAAACATGGGAATTCAGTGACGAATTCGATATCGTCTTTATAAATAATTCTTTGTTTAGTATAGTGATACCTACTGAGAAAGCTGTAATCTGTAATAGTTTCGTCTGCTATGTTCACATTTTGTTTGTTTATGTTGTGACTGCATAAAGGTCTAATTAGTAAAACAAGAAAATTGCAGTATACAAACAGAGTAAACTTGTCCGTCTTCACTGTTCATCTTGCGGAGACATTATAGACACATCTTTACAGTCTTTTACCCTTTTCATTAAATAAACTCTAGCAGACATAATAATATTATGGCTTTTGAAATTAGGTATTACAATGCTAATTCACAACAAAGACGATATCCAATTCGTCACTGAATACCCATGTTTTTGGGACACCCTGTATCTCTAGAAACCGTTTAGGGAATTCAGGGTAATGTTTTCGATAAAGTGCAGTAAAATAGCTTACAAAATACAAAGCGACATTTCATAGTTACAAGAAAATAGAAGAATATGATAAATCCACTGTTTTCTAATTCTCAATTTGCTTTGCTGAATATTTTTCGCTCGTCTTGTTGTATCAAATTGATTTTGAAATTTAGCAGGAAGTGAATGGAACATTTCAATGGATTCAAGGGATCAACCACAAACCCCACCTCCAGGTTCAATTTTATCCTTTACTTTCTGCAATGTATGCTATTTGCAGATTCTATATATTTACTGTTTTCTATTCTTATCTAAGCCTTAAATACAAATACTTTTTTTGTATGTAGCTAATCTAAAACTAATCAAACTTATCTAAAACTATCAATTCTGTTAGATCAAATAGTCCAAGTTTGAAATATTTGAGGTTTTTCTTGGTTTTAATATTATTATTAGATTTTAATCATTCTTTGTTCATTATTACCAAATTTAGGATATACTGAGACTATTGAGGAAGGACTTCATCTGAACAGAATTCATATTTATGATCAAGGTTTCTCTCATATATCCAAACCCATTCATTTAAACCCTGTTCCAGGGCACAACCAAAACTTTAAACAGGAGACAGTTACAGTTAATCCTCAACTACATCGTGGTGGAATACAACAAGTACATCCTGAAATTCATCAAGCATGGATTCATCAGAGAGCTTATGAAGAACGTCAAGAAGTGAGACAACAGTCAGCCCTTGAAGTTCGTCAAGAAGAGATTCAACAAAGGAACCCTGAATTACACCAAGAAGGGATCAAACAGAGGGATCCTGAAGTACACCAAGAAGGGATCAAACAGAGGGATCCTGAAGTACACCAAGAAGGGATCCAACAGAGGTATCCTAAACTACACCAAGAAGGGAACCAACAGAGGGATCCTAAACTACACCAAGAAGGGATCCAACAGAGGTATCCTGAACTACACCAAGAAGGGATCCAACAGAAGTATCCTGAACTACACCAAGAAGAGATCCAACAGAGGGATCCTGAAGTACGTCAAGAATGGACAGTTCAAAAGGATTCTGAAGTACACCAAAAAGGGATCCAACCAAAGGTGTCTGAATTACACCATTTAGGAATCCAACAGAGGTATCTTGAACTACACCAAGAAGGGATCCAAAAGAAGGATCCTGAAGTACGTCAAGAATGGATCCAACAAAGGGGTTCTGATGCACACCAAGAAGGGATCCCACAGAGGGACCCTGAATTACACCAAGAAGGGATCCAACAGAGGGACCCTGAATTACACAAAGAAGGGATCAAACAGAGGGACCCTGAATTACACCAAGAACGGATCCAACAGAGGGACACTGAATTACACCAAGAAGGGATCCAACCCAGGGTGTCTGAATTACACCAAGAAGGAATCCACAAGAGGGAATCTGAACTATACCAAGAAGGAGACAATCTATCCAACACATCTAAAATCACAATTATACCAAATTTGGAAACTTTCAGTATAAATCATCAACCATATGGTCAGAGAAATATTAGGAATTTACAAGCTGACCTCTGCAGTTCAAATTCTGATGTAGATAAGAGTAATCTGTAAAAAAAGATTCTCAAGTTCCAGTGAACTTCCTAGAGAACTCCCCGTGTATCTTTCACTTGGATTATCATTTTCTGATTCTATTTTAACATAAGGTCTAAGATCATGATCAAGATCCATGCTGCAATTATGTGTTATTTTTAAAATCATTATTCAACTTTGTTTAAATTCATGTGTTTTAAATATTTCTAAAATAAATTCATGTATATAAATAACTAAACATAATTCTACATCCACAAATTAATAAATAAAAATGTTGTCATAAATATAAATATATATATATGTCTCTCTAGCAAAATTTAATGTATGACGAGAAGTAGTTGATATACGAGGTGTGTCAAATAAGTTTATCGAAAAAAATTTAAGTTAAGGTTCAGTCCTGTAATTTCATTGAAAAGTTTTCTTAATTCGATAAAAAAATATGTTGGACGCAATTAGCTTTCTCCCGGAGCTTGTCACAGCCTAAATATTTTATCTCAAACTTTATCCATCTAAACGTGTTCTTGAGATTTCTTTACTCCAGAGTTTTCTGGTTCTGGTTAACACTGTGCAGTGTACACAGACCCATTTCTCTTATGAAGTGATTTGATAACTTTAGTAAAACTATAGTTGCTTTGTAACAACACCAAATGCACGTATTATTGCTTTAATGTCGTCTTCCTATTCTACAGTTTTCTTAATTATATCCATCCTGAAATAAAGAGCCTGGATTCGAAACCAAGCCTTTCCATGAAAATAGTTTTAAAAATTTCCATTCCTAAATCCTGATCTCTGATCTCAAAACTGTGTAAAGTAAAAAAATGTAATCTGTTGTAGAACTTTAAATATTAGTGTTTTCAAAAAGTGTTTCATTATTAAATATTTATTAAAAATAATTTATCCATTTAATGCGTTGGGAAGGTCGCTTGGCTGCCTGCTGCCGGTTCAAATCCTTAATTACTGATTCACTCTTCAATTCATCCCCTACATCCTCATAAATCCCTATCGTTGAATTGTTGATTCAGGATTTGAACCGACGATGTGTGGTTCAACGATTTCTGGCAACTCATTAAATCTGGTCTCAGTACATGAACATGAATTTAACACTCACAACATTTAACTTTCAATATTTGTTTCAAAAAAATATTCTTTCTCTTAATTTCCTTTATTTCGGAAATAATGGTCGCTAAAAGATTTTTAACGCGAAAATCAACCATGTTTCGCAAATTTAGTATGTGAATATTGTGAAGGGATCAGAGCGGTACAATTTCTAGCTAAAAGAAAACTACAGTCAAATCAAATCAAACCAGTACCAGGGATATCCAAAGAACTAACCGAATCAAGTAATGATATGAGTATACTTAATCAGTAAATGACTAAGGACTTACGGACCGTGGCTAAAATGTTTACTTGCAGTTATTGAATTTGCTTCCGATATAAAAACTATCTTAATGCTTTCATTTTTTGTTTGGATACGTAATAACCCCGATAAAATTAACCACCGTGGACCTCCTCTGGTTGTGGGGTGTAAATCCAAATAAAAATTTTAATTCTTTGCTTGGTATCCAAGTATTTATTTATAAAGAATTAATTACAAATTTTAAATCTTTTTAAATTTATTTTTGAAAATTAAATAAGTATTGTAAATATTTATCTAAATGTTAATACCAAGTTAAGGTTCAACAGTTCCATTACTAGTTACATAATTGAAAAAAAACCTAAAAACTGGTTTCCATGAAATTTATCTACATCAACTACATTCATAAGTTCTCAAAAATTTATTTACAAAATTGAACTATACAATATTTGCAAAAAATAACAATAATTTATCATTAAAAACTAAATTTATGGAATGTATAAATTTTATAATACGAATTATTGATTTAATAATTGTCTCTTAAACAGTCCATGGCTAAAGTGGCACAGATAGCAAATCATCTGGCAATCATAAATAGTCAGAACTTGTGTTTTGTGAATCTTGGGATTAAGTATTGATCTCCCTCTGACCATCTTAAACAAAGTTATTTAATTACCCTCTGATATCCCGTGATGGTCTCACCCTGCAGGGATAACTTATTAAGGGATCAACCATTAATCCTAAAATTCAAAAGTGCTCACATTGGATATCGAGATCAACTGTTTAAGATTAACAATATAAGTTCTGATCTCTGAGCTCCTCACTAACCAAAACGAAATTAAACTCTAGCGGAAAAGATAACTATTGTTATTCCCTGGATCAAGCTGAACCAGTTTTCAGTATATTTTGTCGTCCAAATATTTGTGAACAAATAAATTGGACAAAAATTGTTTGAATCAATAAAGTACTTAACCAGCGGTCTTTAAATTATAATTATTTTTTAGTTTCGTTTTCTTTAAAGGAACATGTTTGTGTCATTTTTTTTATGTTTCACAATACCCAAATTATTTTAGCGGTTTTTAAAATCAAAACCCTGAACGGAGTCTACATAATAAGGGAAATGATTTTGAAGAAAACTGTGAGTGTGTAAATTATTTCTAAAATATTTTTAAATTTTGAGCACTTGACCGGCCGTTTCACTAGCTGCTGGCCGAGCCTTCGCCGTGAAGGTCACTGAAAAAAGTACGTTTATAATTAATAATCTCTTATTTAAATACAGTGAGAACCAGACAATTGTAGTATGTGAAATAGGATTTTCCACCGCTATATTATCAAGTACAATAGGTGGCAACAGAGAAATGGACCAATTATATACGACGTCACAAGTGTCAAATATAACAAGGAAAACGAAGTTTTCTCACAATAGTTGACATATTTTCCAAGATCAAATAAAAAAGTGTAAAAACAGAAAATATAGAGAACACATAAAATTGCACTTATTTTACTGTAAGATAGGCACTTTATTCTATAATTATCACTATTATTAATAATTTTGTCGAACACAATACCGATTTGACACTTGTGACGTAAGAATACAGCTGTACTGAGAGTATACAAATTCTACGTTGCCATCTATTGTACTAGAATCTATTTGAGATTTTGTAATTTACAACAAATACAACTGATATATCTCTAAAAATATTTGAACACATAGTTGAGTTGTAAATTACAAAATTACTTAATTAAAAGAAATAAGATGTCAAAGAGAATTTAATGTTTTCTGACAATAATCGTACATCATCATTAGTATTTTTTTTGCATATTTTATTGCATCATTTGAATTCAGAAACTACAAGACACAGTAAAAGTTGCTTTTCTTGACGGCGTTACTACATGTCATGTCAGAAAACTGACACGCTGACGCTTCATACGTTTGTAGCCTTTCATACGTTTTAGACTTTTATGCATTAAAAGCATTGTAAAAATTATTTCATCTTAAAAATTTTACTCATACTTCAGTATTTCCATTTCGCTATAGAAAAAGTTCCCAATTTAGTGTATTTAACATAACTTTAATTGTATTCTTTATCAAATCACCTTTTGTATAGATTAAGCTGCCGACCACGCTTATATTGAGCCCGATAAAGTTTACTAAAGAATACTGGTAATCACCGCCAATAAATATTCCTAAATAATAGATAGTTTACTAAAGAATACTGGTTGGTAGTCAGAAGTTTGTCGTCAAAACCAATTAATATTCCTAAATAATAGATAGTTACTAAAGAATACTGGTAGTCAGAAGTTTGTAGTCACCGCCAATAAATATTCCTAAATAATAGATAGTTTACTAAAGAATACTGGTAGTCAGAACGCCAATAAATATTCCTAAATAATAGATTGTTTACTAAAGAATACTGGTAGTCAGAAGTTTGTAGTCACCGCCAATAAATATTCCTAAATAATAGATAGTTTACTATAGAATAATGGTAGTCAGAAGTTTGTCGTCACCGCCAATTAATATTCCTAAATAATAGATAGTTTACTAAAGAATACTGGTAGTCAGAAGTTTGTAGTCACCACCAACTAATATTCCTAAATAATAGATAGTTTACTAAAGAATACTGGTAGTCAGAAGTTTGTAATCACCGCCAATTAATATTCCTAAATAATAGATAGTTTACTATAGAATAATGGTAGTCAGAAGTTTGTAGTCACCACCAACTAATATTCCTAAATAATAGATAGTTTACTATAGAATAATGGTAGTCAGAAGTTTGTCGTCACCGCCAATTAATATTCCTAAATAATAGATAGTTTACTAAAGAATACTGGTAGTCAGAAGTTTGTAGTCACCACCAACTAATATTCCTAAATAATAGATAGTTTACTAAAGAATACTGGTAGTCAGAAGTTTGTAGTCACCGCCAATAAATATTCCTAAATAATAGATAGTTTACTAAAGAATAATGGTAGTCAGAAGTTTGAGTCACCACCAATAAATATTCCTAAATAATAGATAGTTTACTATAGAATAATGGTAGTCAGAAGTTTGAGTCACCACCAACTAATATTCCTAAGAAATATGTAGATAGCTTGCGACATATTTTAACGTCGATTTTTTTTTTCAAAAATGTTAATACAAAGTAATATTTTAGAAAAAAACGTATAAATCATTGAAAACAACATTTGGAATATACTTTGACAAAAGCAAATTCCAGTCCAATCCATAAAAAGATAGTTAATCAATAACCATAAACAAAGAAGAAATAATATTCAATCATATCATTTGTCTTACCTAGGTACGTTATTAAAATATTTTTGAGACATCCAACAATTGTTGTTGTTAAAGCAGAATTGTACGCAGTACACATAACTAAAATGTCAACAAATCATAAAAATAGGGGTAAAAACTTTTCACATATTATGAGTATTTAAAATTAGCATGCTTTGACATTAAATTCATAATAGATAAATAATATATATGGTTAAAAGACCATTTAAACTTAAGATTAAAGTTTGTTTTATTTGCTTGGTGTACAAGTTTCCAAAAAAGTTAATAAAAATAATTATAATTAAAAAATAATTCTGATATCTATTTTCAAGATTTAAATAAAATTGAATCAGCGTTTTATTGCTTGAAATTTTGTGAATGAAGATCTAACAGTTTAACGAAATAATTAAGATTGGGGAAAAGATTTGTTAGTTAATAAATTTATTTCTGATCTATATAATTTTTAACTTTTTTTGTGCCTTTCTGGGGCACAAGATTATCAAGATTTACTTTTATTTAAAATATACAATATCGCCATGTTACTTGTATTTTGTAACTCTGTTACTTCTAAAAATGTGTTATTTTCATAATTTTAAGAGTTGTAAGAAATCAAGCACTTGCCTCAAACTTTAATTTGCTAATCCAATTATTTTCGCAACCTGATGGTGTTAAATTCTATTTAATTTTTAATAAAATATCAAAGGTCTTAAATATCTGTGACAATTCTAATTGTTAAAAATAAACGAATAACCTAATGTAGTTTTGTGGTTCCAGGTATTACCTAATGTGGTTTTGTGGTTCCAGGTATTACCTAATGTAGTTATGTGGTTCCTGGTATTACCTAATATAGTTTATGGTTCCTGGTATTTCCTAATGTAGTTTTGTGGTTCCTGGTATTACCTAATGTAGTGGTGTAGTTTCTGGTATTACCTAATGTAGTTTTGTGGTTCCTGGTATTACCTAACGTAGTTTTGTGTTTCCTGGTATTACCTAATGTAGTGGTGTGGTTTCTGGTATTTCCTAATGTAGTTTTGTGGTTCCTGGTATTACCTAATGTAGTTTTGTGGTTCCTGGTATTTCCTAATGTAGTTTTGTAGTTCCTGGTATTACCTAATGTAGTTTTGTAGTTCCTGGTATTACCTAATATAGTTTTGTGGTTCCTGGTATTACCTAATGTAGTTTTGTAGTTCCTGGTATTACCTAATGTAGTTTTGTGGTCCCTGGTATTACCTAATGTAGTTTCTAGATCTCCAGATTGTACACAGAAAAAGAGAGAGGGGAGGACCATGAATAAACTGTTGTAGTACATCAGACCATACTTACCCAAATCCTTTGAAAACACATAAAAATTAGTTTCAAAAAAAAATTCCAGATAAATAATTACTCGTTTTAAAATGATCAACATTGGCATTTATGTAATATAATATGAATTGTAATTTATCTGATTATTTCTATATTTATTTCACATCAGATTAAAGTCTTATATGTTTTTGACCATAACTCCTCTCATAGGAGAGATATTAAGAAGACAAAAAATGTTGAAAGTTTCTAATAACCGGATAAAATAATTTTTCCTAAACTTGTACGTAAAATCTAAATTAGCATATAAAAAGGAGCTACGAGGTCACTAGTAATGTCTGTACTCCTCCTTCTGTCTAGTTTGCAATGATTTATTAACATTATGTGCGTGCATATAATGTCATAAAATTTCCCATTTCTCTATTAACTAAAAAAATATTCGTTTTTCCCAAAATCTTTACATTTTTTTTATTCACTCATTCTCATGTTTATTAGGACACCCTTTAACTTATTCAAATATTTTACCTTGGCGTCTAATTTTTTCTTCATGATCACCCCATTACCAGCAGTGAAGAAATCGTTAAGGAGAACAAATACATAACCCTGGACATTAAACGCCAGGTCGTTAGACGCAGCAACTACACACAGTCAAATCTCCAGGTTGATTAATTGATTGCAGGATTGATGTTTTGTTTTTTTGATTAAATGATTGATTGATTGTTTGTCTTTTTGATTAATTGTCGATTGGTTATTTAGTTTTCCTGATTAAATGATTCATTGATTATTTGTTTTCTTGATTAAATGATTGATTGATGATTAGTTTACGTGATTAATTGATTGATTGATTGATTGTTGGTTTTCTTGGTTAAATGATTGATTGATGATTGTTTACTTGATTATTTTTTTTAGAAAACGCTTTCAACGGATTTCGAAAATTGTGAGTGGTGTGCGGCATTCTTAGATAGTTGCGCAAGCGACTAGAGAAATAAACAAATTAATTAAAGATTATTATAAAATATAAACTATATACAAATGTGGCGAAAGATAATCGAATACTATAGGTTGTAATATCTGAAGAAGTTTGAAATTAAATTGATTTTAAGTCGTATGTTGCAATTTTCTCAATTTGTATGGCCGCTAAGTTATTCGGTATGAGACGTCTTAAACAATCTTCTCCTTATAGACGCAACAGATAGAAGTAAGATTAGTAGCGATAAAAAGCGCTTTTTTATCGCACTAAGCCTTTACCCCCTTTCATTTTTTGCGAACACTCCCTTTAATTGATTGACTGATTATTGATTTAATTCTAAAAGATTAATTAACGGGTTATTGATAAATAGACAGAAGGTGTAGATAGATAAATAGATTTACTGATATCGACTACGAAAAGTTGATAGATAGACATTTAATAAGATTTAAAGATTTAAGATTTAAGATAAAGGAAAAAAAGGCTATTCCACCAAGTTTGATTATGTGAATGATTAAGGAGATTAGAATCCCTAAAGTGCCGAATATCATCAGGTATACAGAGAGTTGAACTGCTCTACTCGGCTTGGACTTCAAAATTAAATATTCACCTTAAAAAGAATATTTAAAAGCAGATATACAATTATCACTCCCCCTAACAAGAAGCAATTTTACTTAATCGCTGAAGACCAAAAAACATGAAAAACTGATTGACTGTGAAAAGGAGTAATGGCTACAATTGGTAACTTTAGTTGTAGGGACAGACCGGCTATGTAAGGTAGTTGAACTGAGTATGCAGTGTTGTGGACAAATTCTTTAGGATTCATTTGAGACATATGAAACTTTTTGAAGATATTTAAATCCTGAGTCTAAAAGTCAGCATTCAAAATTGTAATTTGGGTGGATACGTTTTCAGTTTTTTTTTTTTAATTATTAAATAACGACGACAAAAACGTAAACAAAATTCTACAGTAAACTTATTTGTTGATAGGAACAGGCTGAGAAAATAAAGATTAATATTATCATCGAAAATAAGTAATCTTATTCAAGTATTAGTTTCTAAAATATTTTCTGCAGATTTTCTGGAATTTTTATAGAACAGACGACATTTGAAGAATTTGTAGAAATCTGAGAACAAATTCATAGAAAATAAGAAATTCAATATAATGATGAAAACGAAATAATTGATTCTAACATTGATTTATTGACAAATTTCTTTTGAGAAATTTGTTCCTAACATCTAATTAATTTACTGCATAATTTTTACTTTATTTTTCGTCGTCGTTATTTAATAATTTAAAAAAAAAACGATTCTGAAAGCTTACCCACCCAAATTCATGATTTTGAATGTAGACTATGCTCTTAAACTCAATAATTATACATCGGGGAAACGTTTTATGTTACTGCATACTCAGTTTATCTACCTTACATAGACGGTCTGTCCCTTTAAAAGTTTGTTATTAGCAAGCTTAGCAGTTGTAAACAAATTATAATTACTAACTTTAACTAAATGTTTAACAAGTGCACATCAGAAGTATATTCATCAAACTTTTAATCCTTTTCACTAAAAATAAATATTCAAAAGAATTCATCAATCTTTTAATTTTGAATATATTTAATACCTTAAACCTTGAAATACAATGAATATCATTGTAATTTCAAGTAACTCTTATTTTAAGCAGTGGTCATCGTTTATATTAATGCAATGAAGACGACTTTCTAATTTAATTTCGATTTCTACCAAGTTTTCAAACAGCAGAAACATACAAACTTGTTATTTAAAAAATCGTTGTTAGGAATCAAAGCATTATTATTAATGCATTGTATTGACATAATCGTTGACCACTGTAGAGAAACCTGACTGATTCACAACAATACCCTTTAACAGATTAACAACAAGTAAAATTATTGTCATTTTCTGTCTAGAAAAATATAAAAATTCTCAATTTCCTTCATTGTCTCTATTAAAAAAACCGTAGGCCACTTTAAAAGAGATCCCATTATAAAATTATCAATTTTCGGACAGAATAACAAGGATAACTCAATTCTTTTCTTTTAGTTTAGACAGAGAGTTACAAGGGAACAAATGTGATTCAGCATTTAAGTTATTAAATGACAGGAAACCTCATTCTATGAAACTTAATCTGATTTAATAATATAATAATATCACAAAGTATAGAAATCAAATGCAAGACAATTTTTCAAAGCATTTGTTTTCAATAATTTAATTCTGTTGTATCCATCCCTAGTCCGAACACCATATTCCCAAGGTACATCAGGGGCAGAGGCCAAATCTAAGAGAGAAAAAACACACATTTTAGAATTTCTAGATCTTTTGTTGGAACAGGTGGCTGTTGGTCCAATCTCAGTTTTATGATACAATGGGATAGAACAACGACAATAATTAAGTGAATTTCATGTTGTTACAAAGCAACGACCTTTTCTTAACGCTTATTAAATCACAAGTTTACTGAAATTGGTCTGTTTAAACTGCACAATTTCTCAGTCTCATGCTCATTGGACTTTTACAATTGTAACTTGATTCTAAATCATTAAATGTTGTCCTTGTATTAAGAGATTTCTGGTTATATAATTAACAATCATCTAAATAACAAGGACAATAACGATAACAATCTTAATACTTATCATAATTACAGTGACAATGACAGTGACAGTGACAGTGACAGTGACACTGATAATGATAATGACAATGAAAGTGACAGTGACCGTGACACTGACACTGACAATGATAATGATAATGATAATGACAATGACAATGACAATGACAATGACAATGACAATGACAATGACAATGACAATGACAGTGACAGTGACACATGGCAATGACACTGACACTGATCATGATAATAGAGTGACAGTGACAGTGACAGTGACACTGACACTGACACTGACACTGACACTGACACTGACACTGACACTGACACTGACACTGACAATGACAATGACAATGACAATGACAATGACAATGACAATGACAATGCCAATGACAATGCCAATGACAATGCCAATGACAATGCCAATGACAATGCCAATGACAATGACAATGACAATGACAATGACAATGACAATGACAATGACAATGACAATGACAATGACAATGACAATGACAATGACAATGACAATGACAATGACAATGACAATGACAATGACAATGACAATGACAATGACAATGACAATGACAATGACAATGACAATGACAATGACAATGACAATGACAATGACAATGACAATGACAATGACAATGACAATGACAATGACAATGACAATGACAATGACAATGACAATGACAATGACAATGACAATGACAATGACAATGACAATGACAATGACAATGACAATGACAATGACAATGACAATGACAATGACAATGACAATGACAATGACAATGACAATGACAATGACAATGACAATGACAATGACAATGACAATGACAATGACAATGACAATGACAATGACAATGACAATGACAATGACAATGACAATGACAATGACAATGACAATGACAATGACAATGACAATGACAATGACAATGACAATGACAATGACAATGACAATGACAATGACAATGACAATGACAATGACAATGACAATGACAATGACAATGACAATGACAATGACAATGACAATGACAATGACAATGACAATGACAATGACAATGACAATGACAATGACAATGACAATGACAATGACAATGACAATGACAATGACAATGACAATGACAATGACAATGACAATGACAATGACAATGACAATGACAATGACAATGACAATGACANAATAATAATAACAATAAGCTAACCTTCCTAGCAGTATCTTTGGTGAGATCAGGGAAATTAACAATTTGTAAAAGTTTTCCAACTTTTAGAATTATTATGGTGGCAATAATTTGTCCCAGTCCTAGAACTAAAGAAACAAAATTCATATTAAAACTATTTTTTGAATAAATGATTAAGATTCAGAGCTTAAAAACTTTAAAAAATACATTCCACTCTTGTAATTAAACTTAAGTTATTTAAATAATAATAAAAAAAGTATATTTGAAATAAATATATTTAAAATATCAATCTTTAAGAAAAATAACAAGTAAGCTTTGGAGAAAAAAAAGAAATTTTTTTTGCCTCTTTTTAATATTCTCACGCACTCTTAAAAATAATTGATATATTACCTTGAAAAGATGGGAAATTGTAAACAGTCAGAACCCGTTTGTTGACAACCATTATCAGAAAGGAAGAAGCTCCATAGAATAGAGCTGTCAGTATTCTAATTAAAAAACATAAATTAAAGGGATCTTAGGCGTATTTATAAGTGGCCCGGTCGATTAGTAGAGTTGGGTCCAAGTCACAACAGTCCCATTACAACTTAGACGGATTAGGGAATTTTCCTTATTAATCGACCAACACGCTTATAATCGTTAAACACATGATTTTCAAGCTATTCTTAACTTATCTAATGATTTATTTTACCGCTGAAAATAGAAGAGGTTGAGCATGAGAATTATTACAGATATGTGTTTAATTGATTTTCAGAACACCCATAGCCATGGCAGGTTGATCTGGCAGGTTGATCTCCTAGCAGGTTGATCTCCTTGCAGGTTGATCTCCTGGCAGGTTGATCTCCTGGCAGGTTGATCTTCTGGCAGGTTGATCTCCTGGGAGGTTGATCTCCTAGCAGGTTGATCTCCTGGCAGGTTGATCTCCTGGCAGGTTGATCTCCTGGCAGGTTGATCTCCTGGCAGGTTGATCTCCTGGCAGGTTAATCTCCTGGCAGGTTCATCTCCTGGCAGGTTCATCTCCTGGCAGGTTGATCTTCTGGCAAGTTAATCTTCTGGCAGGTTAATCACGCAGAAACACTTACCACAAACTCTAACTTTATAATCCTTAAATCTTTGCAACCTGGTATACCAGTCTTTGATATTTTCAACTTTGAATTCTACTTGATCAAATAGTCAAACTAAATATCAAAGGTTTACACCAACAGTCAACACTCAACGGCCTGCAAAGGTTAAAGTATTTAAAAATTTGAGTTTGTGGCAAATGCTCAGTCCATGAAGCCGGATAAGAAAAGCTGTTAAACCGAAAAACAAACAAACAAACAAAAAAGGCAAATATGTACAGTGAGATGAATAAAACTGTATAATAGGACTTGACGACATCAACTATCTGTGTAATTTTTGGTTTTTACCCAGTAGCTTAGTAGTCAACCAATTAAGCACAATAATCTATGAACACTGCACAAATGTTTGTTTAATGTGCATTGGACAATTTAAATTCATAACTTGAGTTTCCTATTCCAAAGTTTCATGGAGCCTACTGTATAAAAAATATATTTATCTAAAAATACAATGTTACTTACTGAACTTTCATTTACCCAATTCAATTATTTTCTTTTTTATCTTTCAGAATTCACGAAGAATTATTGAAAATACAAATATGGGGTTATGGGGTTAAATAAATTCTTTTTTCTGCACCTTTCAAGCTTTATTGGAATTATAATTTGAATAAAGCAGTAAGCTAAAACTGTGGAATAGGATATCGACTGTTGCTCTAGTTTTATGATTTTGAATAAACAAGAAACACAAAAATTCACTTAGTAAGCATATTATCAAGCTAATAGTAAACAAATTTGCTTATCAAGGATATCAAATACACAAAATATTGATTTAAATGTCGTCCTCCTATTCAACAGTCCTAGAGAACGACTTTGAAACCCCCCCCCCATCAATTTTGTACATGACCACTTATTTTTCATTTTTCAGCAAAAATATTATATTTTTTTTTTGTTATTTCAGGTTAGGTTAGGACAATTTCTGGGCCGAGCGCTGGAGCTAGAACAGGCTGGGGGCCGAGCGCTGCGGCTAGGACAGGCTAGGGGGCCGAGCGCCGCCGCTAGGACAGGCTAGGGAGCCGTGCGCTGCGGCCAAATGATCAATTATACAAATCGTTCTCTAGGAAATTAAAACGTAAATTAGTTAACTGGAAAAGTGGTAAAATTTCTGGGTTCAAAATCAACTCAAATATAACTTAATAATTTAATCCAAAATTGGGCCTTCCGATCAAAAATGCAAGTCATTGAGAATCCAAGTTGCGATAAAAAAAAATTCCCTTTTATTATGAATCACTTGAAATAAGCGAAGGGTCTCTTTAAAATTGTGAATATTAGTCGAGTAGAAGGAAATAACTAGAGTTCTAAAGTAAAGTTTAAACATATTTTCAGTATAATTGCTTATAGTTAATGAGGAACAACTTGGAGCATTAAATACTATAAGACCACCCCTAGGTTCTACCCTCCTCCCACCTCCCTATTAAGGCACCCCTGAAACATTAAAGAGAATATATCATGAGACTGAGACTGCAATTTAAAAACATTTAATTATTTCTGCAAATATTTAAAAAAAACAGTTTTTTTCTCTCAAAACTAGATAGGTTTGCACTACATGTTTATTGAAAAGTTGTAATTTTGCTAAAAATATCCCCTTTTTCAACAAAGTATTCAATTAAAAATTTTACCTTTTCATTCAGCTGTTCACATATGGTTCAATTCCAGGGTTCAAGTCAGGTTTCACAGCTTTAAACAAACATTCGTCACAGCATATTTTTTATTGATTAAAAAACACCATTTCATTCAAATTGACAAAGACCAATAAACTACTTGTGTCCCAGCTTCTGCAATGGATTAAAAGGAGTGACCGGCAATGTATGGTAGTTGAGCTGAGAATGTAATCTTGTGGGAAAATATTTTAGTATTCATTTTAGACATATAAAACGTTTTAATGATGCATAATTATTTAGTTTCAGCGCAAAGTTGACGTTCAAAATCATCCATTTGGGTGGGTACGTTTTAAGAATCGATATTATTTAAATTATCAAATGACGACGACAAAGAATGTAAAAAAATTCTAAAGTAAACTAATTAGATGTTTAGGAACATATTTCACGATTGAAATTTTCTCAATAAATCAATTTTAGAATCAATTATTTCTTTTTCATTGTTATATTGAATTTCTTTATGAATATGTTTGCAGATTTCTTTAATTTCTTCTAATGTCGTCTTTGCAATAAAAATTGCGAAATCTACAGAAAATGTTTGTGAACAATGAGGCATTACAGAAACCAAAAACTGAATAAGATTACTTATTTTTGATGATAATAGTTAATTTTTGTTTTCTCAACCTGCTCCTGAACAAATAATTAGTTAACTGTAGAATTGTTACTGCATTTTTCGTCGTTGTTATTGTAATAACTTTTAAAAAGTCGATTCTCAAAACGTAACCACCCAAATGGATGATTTTTAACGTCGACTTTGCGCTCAAACTCAGTAATTTTACATTATTGAAACATTCCACAGGTCCTTAATTAATCCTAAAAATATTCTGCACAATCCTACATTCTCAGTTCAACCATCATATGTTGCCTGTCACTCTCTTTAAGAATGGTTCAAAAGTAGAGATCAGAACTTATGTATGATTTAGCGCTTATCTACACCGCCCGAACTTAAAGCACAGTGGACACTCTGAATTTGAATTATGCAGGGGTTGGTGGGTTGGTATTTTCTCGAAAAATCTCCCCCCCCCCTTTTTGAAAATCATTTTGTTCCCCAAAAAGTTATATATTTATGGGTTTTATTTGCTGAATTGGGAATGTAAATGATTTTTAGGGTGAAACAAATCAATTTTAGAGTAAAAAGTAAAAAAAGTATGAAAAAACATCCAAAATCATTCCCCCCCCCCCCATTCTGAAAAATACACACCCCTGACAACACAAGAATTTAATATGCACAGTGAACATTTTTGATTTGAGTTTTGGATATAAATAGATCGTATCTCACCTAAAACTGTTCAGCAGTCAGTGATCTAATTCTTCAAAGCTTCATTTTAATTTCTGAAATAAAAAAATTAAATTCATAATTTATCATTTATCATATTATTAACAATTATCTCGTTGAATTCAATATGTCTCATTCATGAGATTTTTTATAATTTACTAATGCACAATCAGGTACTGGAGTCAATATAAAATATTTTTACATGTAACTTTATTTAAAGATTTCATATTTTACTAATTATCTTGTTTCAATATTTTTATATCTAATTTATGTATTTATTGATTAATTTTTAAAAATATCATTGAAGTAAAAATGAAAGGACAGGTAAGCATGAATGCAAATAACCACATGTGTAAGGGATAATTACAAAATGAAGACTTGAATACACTTGCTGGCTGTAAATTTCAATGTTTATTTCTAAGTAAACAAGGGAGGGAAATAACGAGGGGGGGGAGGGGGGTGCATAGCAAAATTTAAGAGGGGGGAGGGAGTCTTGTTGCTGTTTTATTAATTAAGCTATTTATCTCTAGGTACAGTGAGACCCACACGGACAGAACAAAAAGACGACTTTCGGACCTTAATTATTAATTAAAATAGAGTCCCATGAAACTGAAACACGTATCCAGATTCTTTTAACTTTTAATTTGAATTAATTCCAAGCTACTGATAAAACTCTAATTGGTCGGAACCCAGTAGGGATACCCAAAAAGAGAGGCTAAGTAAAAATAAAAAGTGTCCACATTAGATATCGAGATTAAGCGATCAGGATTAGGCGTATCCAACGCAAAAGTTCCTAGTTCAGATATAAGATTGATGTTTTTAAAGAAGGAGTGTTGAGTGTTGATCCCCCTGAACTAGTTCAACCAGCTGGGCTAGGGTCAACTTGTTCAATATCCACTCCAGGTATAAGTTTGATATCTTTACAGAATGGGTGTTGACCCCCCTGAACTAGATCAACTAGCTGGAAACGGTTCAACTTGTTCAATATCCAGGTATAAGTTTGATATCTTTACAGAATGGGTGTTGACCCCCCTGAACTAGATCAAACAGCTGGGCTTGGGTCAACTTGTTCAATATCCAGGAATAAGTTTGATATCTTTACAAAATTGGTGTTGACCCCCCTGAACTAGATAAACCAGCTTGGACACGGGTCAACTTGTTCAAAATCCAGGTATAAGTTTGATATCTTTACAGAATGGGTGTTGACCCCCCTGAACTAGATCAACCAGCTGGACACGGGTCAACTTGTTCTTCAGATCATGTATCTTCGTTCTAAAACAGGAAATTTTCTTTATTAAATATGTCTTTTTAAAGGAACCGTTCACTTTTTTGGGCCATTTCATGGTATTAGTCTTACTTTGCAAAGACAACTGTGTCTCGACAAAGGGACCGTCCCTTTGCTCTCGAATTCTGAACGAAAAATCTGCTTTTTCTCCGGCCATAGTTGTCTTTGAAAAATAGACCAATAATAATCAATAGCTAATAAGCTATTTAGTTTACCCAGAAATTACCCAAATAAGTGAACGGTCCCTTTAAATACTGACACTTCTCTCACAAGAATTTTCATTTTCCCATGAACTAGGCAATTACTTTTGTTAATAGATAATAAATATAGCAATTTTTAGATTTTTCCAATTGTCAAAAAGGCCGCCAAGATAAGACAAAGTAAAACAATATTAAGAATGTGTCAAGAAAGTCGTCTTTGATTTTTAATATTCAAGCATAAAAACGAGGCTGTAAGTGTACGTCGTACACGAAACTTTCTTGTATATTAAAAATTAACGAACCTCTTAGATTTTGATTTGTTAAATTTCTATTTTAATTCAGTTGGGAATAAATCTCGCATACGATTTTGCTAGATCAGATGATTTCAGCTTTGTCCAGGTTGCTTTGGAGCATAAAAAAGAAGATTTTTTATATCAACAATGCCCTTCTTTTTAAATTTCCTGCTTCACCTGTGTTTGTTCAGATTATCCATTCTAGAGGATCGAAACCCGCAAACCTCACAGGGAAACGGTTTCTCCTAAACAATTCATCAGAAAATTAACAAAATAAATGAATTTATAAAAACACGAGTAATGATTTCAACTTTTATATTTGCTTTACTTGCAAGCAACATTTGTTTTTACAATACTTCTAAACAAGCAATAACAATAAAACATTTTGAAATTGTTAAATTTGATAAATTTTCTTAAATTTTAAACATTCTTCTTGTGGTATGGTTTAGAATTTTTAAACCCCGACCATAACCCCCCCTCTATAAGGTTATGTCGTTTTGCTATAAGTCGGATACAAACATAATATAATACGGACAACAAGACACATATCTAAAGATTGATGCTTAATTTCTGTCAGTCTCTACCATAGATTCTACTTCATCGCACAAACCGTTACAGTCAAGAGAGTAATCAATCATTCAACATATCAATCAATCAATCAAACCTTAGAATGAACTGCTCTGATGTGTATCTTGAGTCGTGTCAGAGTTCTAGAAAGTTTTCCGCACTCGTCGCACTTAAACGGTAGGTCCTTGGATTACAGGATTATATTTTTTTTTTGTCAAAATCGTTCCCCCACCCTCTTCTTTAAAGGGAGTGTTCGCGAAAAATGAAAGGGGTTATAGGCTTAATGCGATAAAAAAGCGCTTTTGATCGCTACTAATTTTACTTCTATCTGTTGCGTCTATAAGGAGAAAATTGTTAAAGTCGTCTCATAACGAATAACTTAGCGCCCATACAAATTCAGAAAATTGCAACATACAACTTAGACCGTAAAAAATCAATTCAATTTCAAACAAATCATTTAGATATTACAACCTATAGTCATTGATTATCTTTCGCCACATTTGTATATAGTTTATATTTTGAAATATTTCATTTTTTTAGAAAACGTTTTAACGGATTTCGAAAAATGTGAGTGGTATGCGGCATTCTTAGGTAGTTGCGCAAGCGACAAGAGAAATAATCAAATTCAAAACAAATTAATTAAAAAATATTATAAAATATAAACTATATACAAATGTGGCGAAAGATAATCGATGACTATAGGTTGTAATATCTGAATGATTTGTTTGAAATTAAATTGATTTTTTACGGTCTAAGTCATATGTTGCAATTTTCGGAATTTGTATGGGCGCTAAGTTATTCGGTATGCGACTTCTTTAACATTTTTCTCCTTATAGACGCAACAGACAGAGGTAAGATTAGTAGCGATCAAAAGCGCTTTTTTATCGCATTAAGCATATACCCCCTTTCATTTTTCGCGAACACTCCCTTTAAAAACCATGCTCCCATCACCCTTATGTCTTTGGAATTTTTTTCATGTCTTTTTTTGCTCAAAAAAGGGAGGATAACTTAAAAGTTCTTCCAATTACATTTCTTCATATCATAGGCTGATATAATTTTAGTCAGTGAGGAGGGGGGGGNTGATAAAAATAAATATTCTGCTGCCTTGAAGTGACTGAATTGTTTATGCTGTCTCATAAGATAGGGTCGAGTAAACTTTTCTTTACAGATATCACATTCATACTTCTTCTTATTCTACATAAATTAAACCATTGGAAACTAGTACCGGAGAGAATAAGGTTATACTCCCAATTCTGGGGCTCATTGGAGTTACAATCAAAGGATAGCTTCAATAAAAATTACGAAGTACAATTTTTAGAAAAAAAGGGAATTGAGTCTTGGTCACAAACTCAAAGTTTCCCATTCCTATATCTTTGAAACCTGTGTCCGAATTTAATGAATTTGAAAAATCGGTTTCAATTGAGCCATAGCTTAAATCTTGAAACATAGAATACAATTTTAAGTGAAACCAACCATATTTGAGTCGCGGCTTAAATTGATATTTCAAACTTAAATTTTTTGATCTAACAGAAATCATAGTTTGAAATATTAAGATCCATAAGATGTTTAAGAAAATTAGAGAGTGTGGCAAAGACTCAATTCCTTTCCGAATCTTGGCAGGATCAAGAACCAATAAACATATTTGGGGGCCATATCAGATCCCACTAATTAATTGGTTGTCTTTAATTCGATCATAACTACGTAATTAAGAATAAAAAACTAAGAAATAAGATTTCCACCGATGTCAAATCACATTAAAAACAATAAAGAATACTATAAATATATTTTTTAATCGTGATTTAATTTCCCTGGTCGTGAGTAAGCAGATGCCGATGTAAATAACTCTTCACCTAAAAATATATTTAATTTTTTTAAAGTTTACTAAAAATAAAAACTTCAAACATTTTTTATTGGAAATGTTGATTTGCGAAAAAGAATTCTTTACTTTAAATTCTACGTTTCAAAAGCTTGGTAGTTTTAAAATTACAAAATAAACGATATCAGCATTTAATCAACCTCAGAGATTCGACCAACAAACAGTTAAAACGTTTAGGGATTTCGGCAATAAAAGACCATTTGATCTCCAGAGTAAGAATCAGATTTTGCTCCTTTCGACCATTTGCTCCTTTTAAAATATTAGTCAAATGTTAGAACAATACCCTAATAGACAAACAGATTTACTTTTAAATAAAAAATTGTTGTTTTTAAAATGTATTTACCCTAAAAGATGCTCCGCAGATTGTACAGATAAAGTTCCCATTTTCATGCGTCTTGATGTGTCCCCATAAGGTTGAACTAGCCTTTAAATAAACATTATTTTTAAAATATCTGAAAAACACTATTAAACAAGTAAGTATTTTTTTTGCTGCAGTTTTCAATTTTTTTCTTTTTCAGCCAACCTTGGATATTTTACCACAAATGTGTCAACTAACCTTGAATATTTTACGACAAATGTGGCACTACCATTGAATATTTTACCACAAATGTGGCACTAACATTGAATATTTTACCACAAATGTGGCAACTAACCATGAATATTTTACCACAAATGTGGCACTAACATTGAATATTTTACCATAAATGTGGCAACTAACCATGAATATTTTACCACAAATGTGGCGACTAATATATTGAATATTTTACGACAAATGTGGCAACTAACCTTGAATATTTTACCACAAATGTGGCACTAACCTTGAATATTTTACCACAAATGTGGCACTAACCTTGAATATTTTACCACAAATGTGGCACTAACCTTGAATATATTACCACAAATGTGGCACTAACCTTGAATATTTTACCACAAATGTGGCAACTAACCTTGGATATTTTACCACAAATGTGGCACTAACATTGAATATTTTACCACAAATGTGGCACTAACCTTAAATATTTTAACACAAATGTGGCAACTAACCATGGATATTTTACCACAAATGTGGTACTGACATTGAATATTTTACCACAAATGTGGCACTAACATTGAATATTTTACCACAAATGTGGCACTAACCTTGAATATTTTACCACAAATATGGCACTAACCTTGAATATTTTACCACAAATGTGGCAACTAACCTTGGATATTTTACCACAAATGTGTCACTAACCTTGAATATTTTACCACAAATGTGGCAACTAACCGTGGATATTTTACCACAAATGTGGCACTAACCTTGAAAATTTTACCACAAATGTGGCAACTAACCTTGGATATTTTACCACAAATGTGGCACTAACATTGAATATTTTACCACAAATGTGGCACTAACCTTGAATATTTTACCCCAATATGGCACTAACCTTGAATATTTTACCACAAATGTGGCACTAAAATTGAATATTTTTCCACAAATGTGGCACTAACCTTGAATAATTTACCACAAATGTGGCGACTAACATATTGAATATTTAAACACAAATATGTCAACTAACATTGAAAGTTTTACCACAAATGTGGCGACTAATATATTGAATATTTTACCACAAATATTTCAACTAATCTTGAATATTTTATGACAAATGTGGCAACTAACCTTGAATATTTTACCACAAATGTGGCAACTAACCTTGAATATTTTACCACAAATGTGGCAGTTGAATCTCTGACAGGAAGTTTCAATGCTGGTAATTTTCTTACTATCTACAAAAATAACTATGCAAGGATAAAAGATTCAAGATAAGAAAAAGGATGGATAAATAAATAAAGATATTTATCTAGTCATCTAGATAGATAGATAGAAAGAGAGTTTACGATTTTTTAACAAATCCCACTGTGATGTGGGACACTCAGTATTTTAAACTTTAAAAACTTCAATTGTAAGTTTTACAGTGTAAATATAAAGTTCAGTCGCTGACGAAGCTACGGGCTATAAACAAAGATTCTCTTTCAGGTTTTTATTTAACAGTGAGAACTAGAACACTGTGGAATAGGAAGACGACTTTAAATAAATACTTAAGTGTATTTGATATGTTAGAAAGCAAATAGCTTAACTAGTAACTTATTAAGTGAAATTGGTCTGTTTACACTACACAATTGCTGTGTTTTATGTTCATTGAACTAGAATTCAAAACTTGAACCTAAATGTAGTCTTTCTATTACAAAGATTTATGGTTGCCACTGTATACAAATTTAAAATCTATTTTAAAAACTTGAATTTACCTGCCTTGGTTTTGTAATTGATTTCCAGCCCTGGCAGAAGTCTCTCGTCCTTCATAAATAAATTATCAAGGGTATAATATCTATATAGAAATGTGGCTTGTCTATCTGTTTGTATCCAATAAACGTCAAAACGGCTGAACCGATCGGGCCCAAATTTTTTGTGGGACATCATGTGACCACAGAGAAGGTTTATGAATCATAAAAAATTTTAAAAAATGTGTTTTAAAGGTTTTTAATTTTGTAAAAAAAATTTAAATTCTTGAAAATCCGCGATTTTTTTCTAAAAAATCCGCAACATTTTTTCTTCTTTGTTTTAAAATGTAAACAAAAAGAGCATGTTCAACATTTAAATAGAAGATGGGCGCGAAGCGCCCTAAAAGCCTCGTGTATATATATAGAGCTCTTATATTTTCTAGAACCCCCCCCCCTTTCCCTCTCTCCCACCAAAAAGTCGTGATCTTCGAAGGCTGGCATGAAAGAAAAGCTAACAGAAGAAAAAATTAAATGATGAAGGAGAGAAATGAAGAAAAATGGAATATTACATGTTCCTAATTTATAAAAATTCACAAAAACAATAAATGTTAAAAAAGGGAATAAACGAAAATTGAACTATTAATCAAAGGTTTCTCATATGCTGGTTCACCCTATTGGCTTACTGGGGTGTTGTACACCGTTCAATACATACTTTTTATCTTATTACTCTGATTTTAATATACTACAGAGGTCAAAAATATATTTAGGGAGAGTAGTTTTTCAAAGATTTTAAACAATGAAAAATTGGATATCAACTGGCATTTCCCTCTGAAAATTCAGCAAAAAAAACAAACCTGGAAAACAGGAAGGGGGTATAAAATAGAGAAATATCCAAGATGTTCCTGCATCTTGTATTTTACATCACATAATCATAATAATCAAAACATATTAAGTATGAGGTATATTGTGTACTGAATTCTAGAAAAACTAGGGGTGTATCGGCTTTTTAACCCGCTTAAAAAATCAAAAAACTAAAATAATCAACTTAAATAAAAAAAAGTAAGCATTTCCATTCCTTTTAACTATGTTTCAGGGAAATTTTTTTGAAGGGGGTGGGGCGTGTTAGATGTGTGTTCACGCAGTCACACAATCAATCGATGCAATCAATCCATGCATCATGCATCAATCAATCAATCAATCAATCAATTTTATAAACATTCGTATTCACACCCTTTACTTTATTAATTGATTGAATCAAAAGATAGAATGATCTAACCTCTTGTTCTTCTTCTTGACTGGACTTGGATGTTGTTCTATTTTTAATATTTCTTAAATGAATCTCCAGAGACTTTAACGAGTTGAAGACACGAATACAGTGCTTGCATGAAAACCGACGGCGTTTTGGCAGTTCACAATCAGAAATCAAATCTTCTTAAAAAAGGGAAAAATATTAGATTTCCATTTTAATTTATTTCCCACCCCCCCCCCATCTTTGAAATTAATTATAAAATAAACACTGCTGAGCTGAAAACTTTAGAATGGGATATCCTTAATCCCGATCGGTTAATTAATCTGGAGATTAATAACAAGAGGAGAACAAGCAATATTTAATCTGGAGATTAAGAAAATCAGGAGATCAAGCATTGATCTCGATATCCATCATTCTAAAGTTTTCAGCTCTGTATAATTATTTTTTAAATCACCTAATTCCTCCGAGTTATTTTCTTCACTATATTTCTCGTCCTCTTCTCCACTGTTTAGATGAAAAATGTTGCAGAAGACTTGCTGACAAGAACTGCAAAGGGTTCCTTGCTCAGCTATTCCCCGACACTTCCGGGTCTTGTACCTGTAACATCCAGTTTATTTTATTTTAATCTTCCTCAGTCGTGAATCTATTGAGAGACAAAGGTATATATGACCCTAACCTCTACTCGGACTGAGGGGTGACTCTTTTATTTATTTATTTATTTATTTATTGAGAGACAAAGGTATATATGACCCTAACCTCTCCTTGGACTGAGGGGTGACTCTTTTATTTATTTATTTATTTATTTATTGAGAGACAAAGGTATATATGACCCTAACCTCTCCTCGGACTGAGGGCTGACTGTTTTATTTATTCATTTATTTATTTATTGAGAGTCAAAGGTATATATTATATTTTCTTGAATAAGGATTCAAAATATTTGCCTTTTTATGAAAATAGAGAGTGGTTGAACTAGAAACAATCGGTTCAAATACTAGTTCAAGCTCTTTACTTGCTAAATTATAAACAATATAATTGTGCACGTTTGTTAAATCAAAGAAGGGCATGATGCCAGCGCTACAAAGTCACACCGGCTTTGACCAACAAATAAAAATGTTTAATAATATTGATGTAACTGTTAGTAGTGACCTGAACACTCCCTTAACTTGATGAATGGTGAAGAGGGCAATATGTTGGTTTGAGTTTAGAAGCGGTAATATCCTAGCTTCGTCCACTCCACTACATATATTCAGAGATTCAAACCTCGACAACTATTCACAAATATTAAATATATCTTTTCTTAATTTTTTTCTAAATGTAATGTCGATGTATTTTTAAGTGCCACTGCATTTTAAGAGTTGTACAATGTACTTGTCTGATTCTGAACAGCACTGTCGAAGATATCGTCTTTAAAGGGACAGACCGGCTTTGTAAGGTAGTTGAACTGAGTATGTTGTGGACACATTCTTTAGGATTCATTTGAGACATATAAAACTTTAAGAAGATCTGTAAATCCCGAGTTTGAGCGCAAAGTCGACGTTCAAAATCGTACTTTTGGGTGGATATGTTTTCAAAATTGTTTTTTTTTTATTATTAAATAACGACGACAAAAATTGTAAACAAAATTCTACAGTAAACTAAATAGTTGTGTAGGGACAGGTTGAGAAAATAAAAATTAATCTTATCATCGAATACAAGTAATCTTATTCAATTATTAGTTTCTATAATCTCTTAATTATTCACGAAGATTTTCTGGAATTTTTATTGAAAAGACGACATTTGAAGAATTTATAGAAATCTGTGAACAAATTCTTAAAAATTAGAAATTCAATATAATGATGAAAACGAAATAATTGATTCTAGCATTGATTTATTGACAAATTTATTCTGAAAAATATGTTCCTAACCATCTAATTAGTTTACTGTATAGTTTTTACTTTATTTTTCGTCGTCGTTATTTAATAATTTTGAAAAAAACCGATTCTGAAAACGTACTCACCCAAATTTATGATTTTAAACGTCGACTATGCACTCAAACTCAGTAATTGTACATCGCAGACGTTTTATGTGTCTCAAATGAATCCTAAAGAATTTGTTCATAACACTGCATACTCAGTTCAACTACCTTACATAGCCGGTCTGTCCCTTTAAGTTACAAAGTAACCGTAACAAATTGGGCAAGTAAGTCTTAAAATGAATAGTGACTTGAAATTGCGCCGACAGTTCTTTTAACTATATTTATGCAAATTAATTATTTCTTTGCAGCATCTTTACAATAAAAATAGGGGTTTAATTAATCAATCAATTAATCAATATTTCCGACATGTGGCTTAAATAAGAGGGCGTAAACTTCTTCATTAAAAATAAGTAAATTTTACTTTAAAAAATTTAATAGTTTTTAAGCCTTAGCGGTACCTGTGCCACTGCTTCCTTGATATTCGTGAAACTGGTTTGAACAGCGGTCATCTTATTCAGATATACATCCAGCCGTATTCTGGACTCATCCAGACCATAATAGGCTTAATGNGGAGATCTACCAACAAAATATATTTTTTTTTGCAAAAAGTTTTATTCCAGCCATGAAACCCCCTTACAAACACATTTAGTTAAAAACTAATTTCCTAGTCGCAGTTCTAATATAATGCACATTACTATACACCTCTTTCAAACAATGATTTTATCCAATTAAGTCCCTTATTTCGATATATCGTTTTTTGATTCCATAAATTTCACAAAGAATATGAGAACTTCAGAATTGTACAGTTGCTTCTCTAAAAATAAGACTTTAACATAGACAACCTCAGAGGGGCGTACGAGGGCTTTTGTTTAGGGGGGCACACAATTTGCGCGCGTAAGCGCGCAAAAAAAAATTTTTGGTCCCCCCCCTTAAAAAACCCTTTTTTTGAAAAAATATTAATACCTTTTTTAAATTTTTTTTGCCCCCCCTCTCCCACCTGGACTTATTTTGTTCACCATAAAAATACACCAAAAAGACTACTTTTTTGGGTGTTACTAACCTTAGAGTCTAAAAATTATTCCTTTGCTTGAAAAACTAACTTTTTGACTTTATAAATTTATCACTTAACTCCATCACAGCTAACTAAAGCAATAATCACAGCATCATTAAAAATTATATTTTTATGAATAAACGAAATTTCTTCTGAAATTTTTAGATAGAATTTACTCAATCTAAATTTTAACCAAATCTTTTAAGCTACAATTTTCTTGGGATTTGCTTGCACAAACATTTCAATGATATCTCAGTAATGAGCCTAAAGTGCAAGGTCGTCAAGTCTGCTCTTCATCCTAGTACATCTTCTGTAATGAAATATTCTCNATAAAGCCCTCGTACGCCCCTGCAACCTCATCTCAATCAGCCCCTTAATCTCTCCTTTTTTTACCTGATACAAATGCCTTCTTCCAAACCATTTAAGCCAGAAGAGTTGAGAAAAACAAGTGTTTCTTCATCCTTCGTATATATTTTATATTTCTCGCTCAGAGCATTAATGAAGTTAAGATTCGGCTGTTCTTCAGCATTTTTAGAATCTTTAACATTATCAAGGCTCAAGTCTTCCTTTATTACATCATCTTCAGTAGTAGACTGGGAAGTTATGTCAGTTTGAAGAGGGGTTTTGGCAACCTCAGGAGTGTCAATTGAATACTGAAGAGAGACAGGAGGGTCAGTTTTAGCAGAAGCAGGCTCATTGTAAGTAAAATCTTCTTGTTGAACTGTTGTAGAATTCATAGGGGCACACTGGAGAGATAAGGAATGAGGATCATGTTGGGATGAGGAGTAGGGAGCGGAGGGTGATCGAGTAAGTTGATGCAAACTTGATGAATGAGGATCACCATGCGTAAGTTGATGAGAACTTGAGAAATGAGGAGCACATTGAGCATTTGAGGAATAAGGATCACAATCTGTGGATAAGGAAGGAAAAACTTTATGAGAACCTGAGGTATGAGGGTCAAATTGAATTCTAGGGGAATGATGGTCACGCTCCTTAGATGCTGAATGAGAATCAGGGTGCACTGATAAGTGCTGATTCTTTTGATCCCTGAAGGGTGATTGAGCAGCTTGATGCTGATCCCTGAAGGGTGATTGAGCAGCTTGATGTTGATCTGTGAATGGGGATTGAGCAGCTTGATGTTGATCTGTGAAGGGGGATTGAGCAGCTTCATGTTGATCTGTGAAGGGGGATTTAGCAGCTTGATGTTGATCTGTGAAGGGGGATTGAGCAGCTTGATGTTGATCTATGAAAGGGGATTGAGCAGCTTGATTTTGATCTGTGAAGGGTGAAAGAGCAGCTTGATGTTGATCTGTGAAGGGGGATTGAGCAGCTTGATGTTGATCTATGAAGGGGGATTTAGCAGCTTGATGTTGATCTATGAAGGGGGATTGAGCAGCTTGATGTTGATCTGTGAAGGGGGATTGAGCAGCTTGATGTTGATCTATGAAGGGAGATTTAGCACCTTGATGTTGATCTGTGAAGGGGGATTGAGCAGCTTGATGTTGATCTGTGAAGGGGGATTTAGCAGCTTGATGTTGATCTGTGAAGGGGGATTTAGCAGCTTGATGTTGATCTGTTAAGGGGGATTGAGCAGCTTGATGTTGATCTGTGAAGGGGGATTGAGCAGCTTGATGTTGATCTGTGAAGGGTGATTGAGCAGCTTGATGTTGATCTATGAAGGGGGATTTAGCAGCTTGATGTTGATCTGTGAAGGGTGATTGAGCAGCTTGATGTTGATCTGTGAAGGGAGATCGATTTTCTTGATGCTGATCTAAGTAACAAGCAAGAGCATGAGGGGCTGGATGAGAGTGTAAATGAATATACTCTGCCTCTGACGAGGCTTGATACTCATGATCTGAAAAATAAATTCACAATTAGGGTTTCCATCGAAATGTTTGTTGAGCGAAATTCGTAAAATGAATGAACGAAATTCGTTCAAAATTTTCGCAAATTTCGATGCATTTTCACGAAGTTTTCTACCTCATTTTTGCGAGAATTTTTAATTTTCGCAAAAGTTTCGACCAATTTTTGTTCGATTAAAATCGAAATCTTTCCATTTCTCAACATGAAGATTGTATTTTTGCAAGAAAAATAAGATTTTGAAGGAAAGTCGAAAATTTTGAACAAATTGTGCCAAAAAAATTTTCGCGAAAGAGATTGAACGAAAATTTAGAAACCCTATTCAAAATAAACTAACTTTTAGAAATAGTTTCAGTGTATGTCCTATCATAACTTATAAACCCTTGACTGATTGGCTTCAAATTTTGATAGTTGAATTCGATAGAACCACGCTAATTTTCTGATCTTGGTATTAAAAATCTCTGTTGCGAGGCTCGACTTTTAATGAGCAACGTAAGTTTTCAAACTAAGCTGGGTTCCCAAGCTAGTATAATAATAAAATAATAATATTTGGAAATCGCAATATTTTCAACAACTTTTTAGTGTATTTATTTGCATATTATTTACGGTGAGCATTTTACTAAAGTTCCATCGTGTGCCTATTTTATTCATTTGATTAAATGTCAGTTATTATTCTGTTCTGATAGATAATATATAATTTATATATAAATTGTGATCCATTAAGTCTAGAACTTATTATTTGCTTCCTTTTGTTAAAGGCTTTCTAAAGAGCTATACGATGTTAAAATCCAATGACTGGAATAGATGTAGTCAACAAATTTGAACAGCCTCAAACCAATACTTTTGGAGTTTTGTTCAAAAATAATAGGGGGCGGGGGTTCCCTGGGACCCCCCCCCTCCCCAGCTGGAATAGGGTTAATATACATGTAGTGCTTCTTTGATAATTTTCCCAGTTAATTATTTACAAGCTCTTGGATGAAAATATATGTATGTCTCAGAAAAGGACGAATTTTGAATAAAATTATTGATTGAAAAAAATTTAATTTTCGGGAACAAATCATTTAATTACCTAAACTTTCAACACTAAGTATTTCAACGTAATGAGTTTCTTCCTCCTCAATCTCAGATTCACAGTGAGCCAAGTTTTCAGATTGTGCACAGTGAGTCAGATTTTCAGTTGCTGCAGAGTATTCAACATTTTCAGTTGATGTAGAGTGAGCCAAACTTTCGGATTGTGCACAGTGAGCCAAACTTTCGGATTGTGCACAGTGAGCCAAACTTTCGGATTGTGCACAGTGAGCCAAACTTTCAGTTCTTGAAGAGAAAGATAAATTTCCAAACTGTGCACAGTGAACCAAATTTTTAGTCTTCCCCTTGTCTAACCTCTTAGTGTCACTAATATATACAGTTCTTTCACTAGATATAGTATTTGACTTATCGTACTGTACCGTTTGTACAGAATCAGTCTCGTTGTACTCTACCGCTTGTACAGTGGCAGTCTCGACGTGCTGTACCGCTTGCAGTACCACTTTAACAGAATCAGTCTCGTACTGTACCGCTTGTACAATATCAGACTCGTCGTACTGTACCGCTTGAACAGAATCAGTCTCGTTGTACTGTACCGCTTTTACAACATCAGGCTGCAAAGTTACAACACTACTAGCCGTAACATTCAGTTTTTTACCACCATCATCTTTTACATACACAATGTTATCAGTTTCCATTATTCTAATGTCGTCTTCAGATTGTGATTCTAAATTCAAAGTTTTAGAATTTGTCCGAATAACTGAAATTTGTTGAGCGCCAGGTTGATCTTCTAGTATTGTGAGGGGGATGTTTAAACTGTTATTTGTCGATAAAACCAAACTTAAATTTTGACATTCTTGAGTGTCCGTTTTAATCTGAGGATCAACTATTCTAGTCTTTAGATCCGGTCTCTTATCCGTATTATTCATTTTTTTCTGAAAATTTAAAAATAAACAACAAATTAGGATAAAATTTCTTTATTAAAATATCACTGTTTTCAATACCATCATTGATTACAACATTTATAACAAAAGTAGGAAAAAACAAAATAAATTAAAAATCATAATTAAATATTAAATGCAACAACATATTGTGTGACAAAATTGTGAACTAAAGCTATGAGAAATAATTGTTTAAAAGTTTAGAGGAATCTTAAATTTAGAACATTTCTGTGCACCAAAATATTTTGCTGGCTGACGATTTATCATTGGCCGCCGATGTTTACTTGAGAAGAGACCACTTCAATTGTTCCTTGGCCGACTGTAAAACCTAGGATATTACAGAGATCGTTAAAAAACTAACTTTTATTTATTTATATTATAAATTCAGAAAAACAATTTATTAACTGCAAAAGACTCAACTAAAAACAAATAATTGCATAGCTTTTAAATCATAATCTGAAAGGATTTTAGCCATTTTCGTGCTCGTCTTTAATGTAAATTGCAGGAGTCTGGTTGGTTAATTTCTGTTTGTGAAAAAAAATTAGAGTTTACAAAAAAATGAAAAAAAGATATTCTTATCTTTACTAGTGTTTAAACATAAAATTTTAACAAAATTATTGTCAGAAAAGCATCCCAATATTATCTCAGATTAACAACGTCATAAGTTTTTATAAAAGATAAGCAAACACTTAAGTTTTTTTATTCAATATAAAGAGATAATTCTTTTAAGCCAAATCAGACAATTTTACGGTTTCTAAAAATTAAATTGTTATTCAAATCACCATTTTTTATTTTATTTTGTCATCAACAATTATCTTTTTTAATCATTGACAAAAATTCCGTTATTTCCCCCTAAAAATATTCCGTTATTTCCCCCTAAAAATAATTCCGTAAAAATATTCCGTTATTTCCCCCTAAAAATATTCCGTTATTTCCCCCTAAAAATAATTCCGTTATTTCCCCCTAAAAATAATTTATTTCCCTAATGTTCAGCGAGAAAAAAAACTAAAACGCATTCCGCGTTAACATTCCTAACTTCTGGGGGGGAATGAATATGATTTTCAAATGGAAGGGGGGGGGGAGATGTTTCATCAATAAAATATACACCCCTGTAAAAACTTCATGTGCACTTAAATTCTCTAAGATGTATTCACCTCAATAGAATAGTAACAACTAGGCAATGTCAGATTTCAGGTGAAAACTTTAAAATGAATAAAACTTCACTACAATAGGAGAAGATATCGAATTTCATTGTTTAGTAGTCCGTATGAATTTGTTAGACTAAGGCTGATTAATTTAAGAACTAAAAACACGACACAATAATCTGTTTTTTTAACTATAAAATCTCTTCACTACACCCCTAGGTAAACGATAACTAGTAAAAAGATATGAAAGAAGTTTAAGGTTGGAAGGTTGAATCTCAACTGACCAGGATTATGAGGCAAATTCCAGGACAAACAAATAATAAGAAATCTCAGATTAAACAAATATGAATTTTTACAAATTTTTACAAACAATTTGAACATCAAATCATGAATAATACAACTGATAATACGACAAAAATGACCAAAAAGTAAGAAAAAAAAACAGGACAAGCAGGAAAAACGGTACAAACAGGACAAACAGGACAAACGGGAAAAACAGGACAAACGGGATAAACAGGACACACGGGATAAACAGGACACATGGGACAAACAGGACAAACAGGACAAACGCGACAAACGGAACAAATTTGACCCTCGGGACAAACAGGAAAATGACAAACATGACAGAATTACAAACATGACAAACATGACAGAATGACAAACATGACAAACAGCACAAAGATGCCAAACATAGAAAGTCCTGTGAAAATATCACCAACGTGTCAGATTCTAGGAGAATTAGAAAAAACGTAAAAGCTCTTAAAAAAGAAGCGACCGTGACATGACAAGAATGACCAGCTGGATCACCGAGATAACCTTTTTATATATATACTAGCTCAAGTGCCTGGCGTTGCCCGTGGAATTTGAAGAAAAGTTTAAAATTTCCGCCAATTTGATCCAGCCGTTTGGCCAGTTATCGCAGATATATACATATCAAAGACCTTTATTATATATATATATATTACCTGTGCTACAGTTTGCTCTCCTAGAGGAATATCATCTGCTCTAAGAGCAACTCTAGCAACGAGAGCAGCAGGGTCTGCTTCAAGGATAATACCGTTATCTATCATCTCATCTAGGGCAAGCATGACCACCTGCAATATTTGTTTTTATGACGATCCATTTCATGACGATTCATTTTATGACGATCCATTTTATGACGATCCATTTTATGACGATCCATTTCATGACGATCCATTTCATGACGATCCATTTCATGACGATCCATTTCATGAAGATCCATTTCATGAAGATCCATTTCATGACGATCCATTTCATGAGGATCCATTTCATGATGATCCATTTAATGACGATCCTTTTAATGACGGTCCTTTTAATGACGAACCATTTCATGACAAACCATTTTATGACAAGCCATTTCATGGCAAACCATTTCATGGCAAACCATTTCTTGACAAACCATTTCATGACAAACCATTTCATGGCAAACCATTTCATGTCAAACCATTTCAAGGCAAAACATTTCAAGGCAAACCATTTCATGACAAACCATTTCATGACGATCCATTTCATGACAAACCATTTCATGGCAAACTATTTCATGACAAACCATTTCATATCAACTGCTTCTTGATAAACTATTTCATATCAACCCATTTCATGACAAACCCATTTCATGACAAACCATTCCATGACGATCCTTTTCATTACGATCCATTTCCCTGCAAGGAGAAAATGGTTGAAAATGCTTAATGCCCAAGAGCGGAGCCTCCATGAAAATTTAATTGTAGTTACAGATCATAATATACTTTATCTTCTTCGCCGTTGAAAACTAGTTTTACGACTGGAGCTGAATTTCTTGAAAAATGTCGTCTTTGTTATCGAAAATCTTCGAAATTTCATAATCGATTATTCTCAAAAGTTACATTCGCATTATATAAAAATAAAAATAAACATTATTATATGTTAATTTGTTTGAATGATCAGAATTTAATTCCTGTATTGTAATATATAAAGAATCTGTTATAAATATAATTGAACACGGTTTGAGTGGTATAAGGTAACTCGTGCGAGCAGTTTTTTTAAACCAGTTTTTTAAAAGAATATTGACCAGGTGTTGGCTATTATGTCTCTCAAGAACTTTTAGAGCGGTAAGATTAGTAGATCTTAATTGAAACTTTGCTTTTCATGTGTATTTTGACATAGTTAAAAAATGACTTTAAATACATTTATGAAAATGAATGTAGGTACGAGTAGACGAGTTTTCAAAATTCATGGCCATACAAAAGTCGCAGTTCCCGCTTTTTCAAGAAGGAGTATTATTAACTCCAGAAATGTCTAGGAGGCAGTGCTTAGGATCCGAATCCGGAGGATCCGCAAGATTTTGGCTTCCTTGATCCGGATCTGCAAAAATATGCGGATCCACGGATCCGGATCCAAGGGGTAAAATATCAACCAAAAACTACAAAAAAAAAAACCTTTTTACTCCTAAAACCCAAATCAGAACTTTTGAAAAAAAGAGAGATAAAAATTTCCTCATTTCTGAATGGTTCATCAAGTTTTAGGATAAAAATAAGCGAAAAAAATAAAACAAAAAAGTTGAAAATTATTTTTTGTTAAAAAAATTCACTAAGGAATGACCTGGATCCGGATCCGGATTCATTTTTTCAATGCGGATCCAGGATCCGGATCCGCATCAAATTTAAATGGATCCTAAGCACTGCTAGGAGGGATAGACTATCAAAGAGTACATATTTTCTTAAGTACGGGTTCTTTACTGCCGAAAAGGATAAAATAAATAACCACCAACCTCTAGGTTATCTAGCAGAGATCTCCTATCTACGTTCTTCCGAAGGATTTGAGAAACGGAGTTGTAAATACAATCCAGTACAGACATCAGTACAAGCTCATTCTCATGTACTAAACATAGTTGAAATAGAGAACAATACGACGACACAGTGCAGAAATTGTGAAAAAACCTATATTTTTTCAGTCTCAAGTACAAAACATGGGTATTGATAGAAACTCCATTCTACGACTTTAAAACCAGTACTAGTAAAAAAACAAATTTTAAAAAATCTTAAAATTGGCTATGGGGGGGGGGCTTCATACCTGATCCAATAATATAGAAGAAAAGATCAACGTTGCTCTTGTAAAGACAAGTCATCCCCTCGTACATAATAATCTCACTGTTTGCCTGAATAATAAAGGATTTAAAAAAGGTGCTTAGGATCCATTTCATGTTCATACTTTGCTCTAAATAACGTAAAAAATATACTACCTTTAAAAATAAGAAAAAATATTTACAACACACTTTTTAAATGTCACATGGAATTCGGAATAACATGTTGGGGTGCTTCTGAGAATAAAAAATCAAGAATATTGAAAATATTAAAAAAAAAAGGCTAAAAGAACAGTTTTTAAATTCAAGCTTCAATGCACATACAATTCCACTTTTTGGAAAACTAAATATTTTGAAACTGCATGATATTCTTCAATTGAAAGGTTCAATTTTTATGTACATATACTTCAATGAACGACTTCCCGAGTAGTTTAATAATATATTTTGTGCTTTGTCTCATCAAAACCGAACAAAATTCTTAAGATTAGAAAGACCTATAGGAAAAGTATTGGAACAATTTCCTAAAGTTTTCCTACCACAAAGATGGAATTCATTGTCACTAGAAATAAAAAAGTCGTGGATAAAACAACTATGTATCTGCAATTTGAATGTTCAAAATCAAACTGTTATTCATGTATTTCTGAATAAATAAATGTGCCATCCTTAGTTCTGAGCCAGCTATTGATTCTGATTAAGATAAATAACTCTCCCCCCCCCCCCCCCTCTCTCTTCCTAATACTTTCCCCCTACTTATTGGACGAAACACCTCCAATTGTATGATTTAAAAATTATATCATACGATTACATCCGGGTTTGCCATTAAAGACGACCAATGTTGGCTTGGCAAATCCCGTCATTAAAGTGTTAGTTTAAAGAATATATTTATGTAAAATTATGTACTTTCTTTACATGGCTACCATTGTAAATCGGCCATTGCCATCTTTACATGGAGGGCCAGTTGAAAATACGCTTACAGTCCCTTTAGTATTTTACCTTATGCGTTTTACCGAACAAATTCTTCTCAAATTTTTTCTGTTCCTGTGGAGTACTCAGAACTGAGCTGTCATAATATTTTGCAAGAATTCTAAACATAAACATTTTATAGTTTCCAAACAAGTGTATGACAAGAGAAAACGGATTGCCGAAATTCAAGATAATAAATTTTGCCACTGAGTCATATAATTATTTTAGAGGTATGGCCATGTGGGCCGCACTTGAGAAAATTTAAAGTTTCTCAAATATTTTTTTGCACACATACTTTACGCTAAAACATGGTTTAGAAAACGTTTTTTGAAAATAAAAGAATCAAAATCAGCAATACATCATAAGACATTATAATGGAATATAAAATGATGTAAACTGGGGGGGGGGGNTTGAAATTAAGAATGTAGTATTGATTAATGCTACCTTGTACCGTTGTTATCGAGAATCAGAACCGCCTAACATTTTAATGCTTGTCATTTGATTTATTTCGTTCAAATTAATTTACGTGGCGCCATAGGTCTGAAATTTTCAGTGGGATATCTTTAATCTTGGAACGTTTGATCTCGATATCCAATGTGGGCACTTTTAAATTCTGGGATAAATGCTTGATCCCACAGTTTAAGTTATCCTTGCAGGGTTAGCCCACTACTACACGATATCAAATAGGAAAAAAATAAATCCGTAAATCTGCATAAATGGAGGTTAATTGTTGGTCCCGAGATTAAAAACACAATGCCCGATGTCGTTGTTTACAAAAAAGTGTACTGCAGTTTCTGCAAGATATAATTACCAAACCGGACTAAGCAGCACACAGTTTGTTGACATTCTTCACAGAAACTGCAGTACTCTAAGATGTCAACAAAGACATTGAGGTCCCTTGCGTATTGTAGCTAAAGCTATAGCGTGTCGGGCTAAAAAATTCGTTCTGCAAGTTTCAGAATGAAAATTGTAACATAAGTTAAATTTAGAAAAGTGAAAAAGGGCTGAATATGTTTTCGGAGTGCAACGTTAATTATCATTGACTGAGTTAAAATTTTCGGAAGTCGTAATTCGTTAATTTGTCATTTATTTACGTCAGTGCAGAGCTTATGGTGCGGTTCTAAATATTTGAAATTTTATTTTGTTCATGTTGATTTTAACCGTTTAAAAAAAATATATTCTAATTCGAGATGTGCAAATGTAAGAGATATAAATAATTCTTACTGTCCATTGTGCATTTTGATCAATAAATAGATTTGAATAATAATAAAATTATCACTGACTGACATGAAAATCTTAGTGAACATTGTACAATGTACAATAAAATCTTAAAAATACAAGTGCAATGAAAAAAAACCGGTTCTGTTCTTTGAGAACGATTTTTGACCCCCCCCCTCATATCAATTTTGTATTAATGTAGGGATAGGTTGAGACTATTTCTGGCCGAGCGCTGCGGCTAGGACAGACTAATGGGGAACGAGCGCTGCGGCTAGGACAGGCTAGGGGGACAAGCGCAGCGGCTAGGGGGACGAGCGCTGCGGCTAGGGGGACGAGCGCCGCGGCTAGGGGGACGAGCGCCGCGGCTAGGGGGACGAGCGCCGCGGCTAGGGGGACGAGCGCCGCGGCTAGGGGGACGAGCGCCACGGCTAGGGGATTAGCGGCGCGGCTAGGACAGGCTAGGGCCCGGGCGCTGCAGCCACATGACCAATTTTATCCATGGTTTACACACCAGATCCATGTAAAAATTGTTGGGGGGGGGGGGGGCCAAAATCGCTCTCTAGGAAATATATATAAAAAAACACCTTTGACCTGCAATATGAATTAAATTATGTTTTTATTGCACAGGACACCCCCCGACTTAGACTGAATGTGACCTAGCGCTGTTGTTATCTGCTATTGCTTTTTATGCATTTACATGAAATCATTTATTCAGTGCTTAGGATCCGGATCAGTTGGATCCGAAAGATCATGGCTTCCTGAATCCGAATCCGGATCCACAAAAATATGCAGATCCACGGATCCGGATCCCAGGAGTAGAATAGCAACCAAAAACTGCAAAAAAAAGTTTTTATCTATATACCCAAATCTGAACTATTGAAAAAAGAGAGATTATATCAAATTTTATCAAATTTAAGAATTGCAGTAAGGGGAAAAAAGTAAGACAAAAAATTTGAAAATTCTGCTTTGTTAAAAAGTATCAAGAAATCTTAAAGAAATTTCCTGGATCCGGATCCATCTTTTCCGGTGCGGGGTTACGGATCCGGATGCGCATCAAAATTAAATGGATTCTAATATTTAATATATATATCTCAGAAAGCATCCCCCCCCCCCCGTTAGGATCCTACAGTTTATTCACTGACAAGATTTTTCCTTGATAGTTTCTAATGCAGGTTCTAAATGCATGGCCTCCAAACCCATCTTTTCTGAAAATATAGCTAAAAATAACATTTTAAAGTATGGTATTGATTATAAACCAAACCTCTTAAAGTAAAGAACTGGGTGTCATATCCAAATTATTTTGAAAATAATCGTGAGGATTCGAAACATGCATCAAATTACTATTTTACAATTGAAATTGAATAATTCTGGATGTCACAGCTGTGCAAAAAGGTTTGCAAATATATGTGGTTAATTCGGTGCCTCTATAAATGTATACAATTAGTTTCATTGTTTATAAAAAAAGCGACATTACTGACTACAGATGAAAAATAAAAATAATTTTGAAAATAATGAAATAGTTTGGTTTGGTCGAGAGTAGTGACGTGTAGTAAATACTGCACAGAACCTCATTCTTCTCCTCTGCGCACAATCTTTGAAACGCGCTATAATAATAGTATTAGGAATTGTCGGTGTCATATAGTGGAAGTTCAAATCTAAAATTATTATTTTCTTAGTTTTTGACAAATTAAATCCAAGAGGGGGGTGTTCACTGTTCAGTGATATTGGGGAAAGTCCACCCTGTCTTGCAATTTAGCGATTCATGAATTTCTGCAGAAAGGAAAAGGGGGTTTATTAAGTATTATTTTTATACTTTTCTGCCACTTATTATGATAGCTTTATTATTGTAGTAGTACAAATAGCAAACGAATGCTGTCATGTTCACCGCAAACATTGTGTGATGTGCCATATTAAAAAAAATAATTTTCATATTTAAAGTCATGATTTTTTAATGAAATGTGCAAATTTTGAAATTTTTTGTTATTGTTTGAGTATAATACACATTTTTTTTGTCCCCCCCCCCCCAAAAAAAAAAAATGGAAAGGGGGGCCGGCAAACAAATTTTTTTTCTCGCTTCGCGCAAAAATGTTTTCATCTTGCCCCCATCTAACAAAATGTCTAGTTGCGCGCCTGGTTCTTTTGCCACAACATAACAATAAAACTGACAAATTAACACAAATGCAAGAATTTTAGCATGATAATATCAATTGAATGAATGAAATGCTAATACCTTCTTCTTCTTCAAACTTTTACTAACGAGAAAATTCCCAGTCAGAAAAAAAATACTAAGAATTATAAAAGGAGGTAAAAAGGTTAATTATGTCCCAGAGTTCGAAAAGCAGAACTCCGAATCTCGTCTTTTCTTTTCTTCTTTTTTTATTCTTTTCTTCTCTTCTTTTCTTCTCTTCTTATTTTTTTCTCTTCTTCTTTTCTTCTCTTCTCCTTTTCTTCTCTTCTTCTTTTATCTCTTCTTCTCTTTACTTTTACTCTTCTTATTTACTGTTCTAGTCATCTATAGTCTTCTAGTCTTCTAACCTTCTTGTCTTCTATAGTCTTTGGTCTTCTACTCTTCTACTCTTCTACTCTTCTACTCTTATACTCTTCTAGTCTTCAAGTCTTCTAGTCTGATAGTCTTCATAGTCTTTTAGTCATACTAGTCTACAAGTCTACTAGTTGTCTCGTCTTGCACTCTGATAGTCTAATAGTCTTCTAATCTTCTAATCTTCTATCCTTATACTAGATACTTCAATTGTTTCTATTTCAGTTGAAGAGAGGATATATTTCACATTTGAAGCCTAGACTTTGGGACCATGGATGGGAATGCGTATTTATATTTGGGATGGGTGAGGGCCGGTCTGTATCCCAATTATCAAAAAGAAAATGATAAAAAAATGCATAATTTGAGACAATGAAGTGTTATACATACATAGTACATACATTTCCACAACTGTACACATATTTAGTACTAATTCAGTTTCCATTGGCCGCTGAAAAGAAAGTGTTTGCGTAAATGAAAGGGGGTACATGCTAAACCTGCATTGGAATCAAATAGTATTAATTATATTTTATATGATGTTATACAGGGTGTCCCAAAAAACATGGGAATTCAGTGACAAATTCGATATCGTCTTTGTTATGAATTAGCATTGTAATACCTGATTTCACAAGCCATAGTATTATTATGTCTGAAAATTACTTAAAACTCTAGTTTTTCGAATTTATGTATAAACTATTTTGCATATGATAAATTCGCACCCTGATCTCTAATCGTTCTCCTTAAATCTATTTAATTGAAATATTTTGTTATTATTACTAACATTAGGTGGAAAGAATAATCAAAACAGCCAAGAGCTATTTTCCACCTAATTGCTTTATACTTGTACTGTTAATATAATCATCAATTTTGTGATTGTAAACTCTATCTGTATACAGATACATTTATTTTAGCAATAAACTTTATCTTATCTTATCTTATCTTATGTCTGCTAGAGTTTATTTTATGAAAAAGGTAAAAGACTGTTAAGATGTGTCTATAATGTCTCCGCAAGATGAACAGTGCAAAATGGACAAGTTTACTCTGTTTTGTATACTACAATTTTCTTGTTTTACTAATTGTACAACCGTATGCAGTCAAAACATAAACAAAAAATGTGAACATAGCAGACGAAACTCTTACAGATTATAGCTTTCTCGGTAGGTATCACTTTACTATATCAAAGAATTATTTAAAAAGACGATTTCGAATTCGTCACTGAATTCCCATGTTGATTGGGACACCCTGTATGAATAAAGAGAATTGTAAAAAACATACATACATACATACATACATCCCTCAATTGCTGGACATTTTATGTGGAGACATCTTTACGGCCGAAGTATTAGAATTCAATTTGGAATATTTTTATTCTTAATTGTATCAATATATTAAAGACGACTTTCGAGTTTAATTTTGACTTGTATCAAGATTTTGAACAGCATGGATACACAAAAACATGGAAACAAAGAGAAGCTGTCAATCAAAATAGCTTCTCTTTATTTACTTGTAAACTTGTTAACAATTAAACTTAAATAAAAGTCGTCTTAATATATTGAGATAAACGCCTACCACCGTATCTAAAAGCTCAACTAGCATAACTAACACAACTGTTACTATCGCATATTTAATAGTAAATAAATAATAAGACTAAGCAATAGTCATTAGCCAATCATAAAGCAGTGTGCGCCATACAATTGATGTTAGGTACAGGACTGATCTGAGGGATAATGTTGGTCGATGAATTGTTTGTAAATTTTAGAAAAACCATTTTTAGAAATCATTAAGATAAAAGGATATTGACTTACATTGACATTTACAAGTGGTTCCAGTGCACTTTTTCATTTTCTTACATTCAGCATCTGCGTGACATTCATATCTTTCCTAAACGAAGAAGAAAAGTGGGTGGAAAAAATTCTTTCTAATAACAAACAAACAAAAAATGATAAAATGCAATGTATAATTTTACAAACCGTTGTACAATGTCCATAAACACAATAGCACGCTTCAGGTGTTTCTCTGTAACAAATGTTTTGTAATTTAGCAGCACGTGGTTCAATAAAAAAATAATTTTCACCTGCAGGAGCAGTCTTCAAAAGCTTGACATTTAGGTCCAGTCATATATTTACCACCCCCTGATATTTCGCAGTTTCCATTAATACATACGTGAATACCACCGCCCTAAAATGTTTAATCGTCTTAAATGGGCTGACATATGGTGACTTTAAATACAATGAATCCCAGATATATGAATACATAGACCGTTATATGTTTTTTGATAATTTTAAAGAATCTTTTTTTTTTTAATTCAAAGTAATTTAATAGCCCTTAAATATAAATGCAATTGATATACTATTATTAAACTCATTTTTCCGTGGCATTTGATCTTAAATATGTAATACGACATTATAAAAAACTCTTGCTATGTATTCATATATCTGGGATTCACTGTATATATAAATTTAGCTTGGGTGTCTGGGTGTTTGTTTGTATCCAATAAACGTCAAAACGGCTCCAAATTTTGTGTGGGACCTGACTTGACCCCAAGGAAGGTTTATGAATGATCAAAATTTCAAAAATTGGTGTTAATAGAATTTCTAAAATGCGCAAACAAATATTATGTAATCCGCAAATTTTTTTTATACTGTAAAAAGAGGAGATGCTCACCGATAAAACCACAATTAAAAGTTAAAAAAGTAGATGGGCGCGAAGAGCCCTAAAAGTATAGTTAAGGAGACTTGCCCAATTCACAATGATTGGTACCCTTTATGCTGTATGCTTCCATCCTATATAAATCCGAATGTCACAATTTTAAATGAGATCCCACAGTTGCAAATTATCAAATTTTTACAGATATTTAAATAAAAAGTTATCCTAATATTTCCTCAGAGAACGGAATTTAGGTTGTTGATGAAGAAGAAGATCATTGAATATTCATTCTTATACAAAATGATTGAATCTCCCAAGTCTAACCCCCCCCTACCCCTGTAGAGATTAATTAGGAAGATTATACTTTTCAAGAATAGATATATGGACGAATATTCCGGAAAACTAAAATTCTTTAATCGCTAAAGGAATAGAAAAATTTACGTGAAATGATACTTGTTCTTTTTGCAGCATAGTGTAGATTACTTTCTTTAACAAATAAATGCATATAGGGGACGTATACCAAATAGAGAATGTCATAAGTTCTATAGTTTACTTACACTAACTGTTGATCCTAATTTAGCTGCTGTTTCCTGACATTCAGAAGAAAACAGGCAAGGACCTATTTAAGTCTTGTTTGAAATACGATTGAATACAAAAAAACGGAAATAACTTGAATGACAAGTAAACAAAATAAGCAGAGAAAGAATTAATAGACATGAAAAAAACATACAATGAGGTTTACTTTAAGAGAAGGAGTTGGAAGGGGTTTAGAGCCCCCCTGACCCCCGCAAAATGACCTCCAGAACCTCCTGTTATGCAGAATGACCTCAATGCTCTTTCTACGTCTCACAGCCTCTGCTATTCTGTCTCCGCAACCCTCATTTTGATCTCCGCTCGCTGACTGATTTTTATTTATCTGTTATGGCTGAACCAACCGAAAATCAAAATATATCTCTTCATAGCCTAATCCACAATAGTTTAAAGAATCTTTGAATCAAATATTAATTCAAGAATATTATTCAAGAATTTATTTAAATGATCATGACTTATTTTCTTCTGAAAAGAATACACAAACCATACGATAAAAGCGCAAATTCAAGTATTTTTTTTTGTGAATTAGTGCTTATATAGTTTGATTTGTGTACTTCCCGAGTGGACCATCTGGGACTAAAAAGGAGACTAGGACAGTCCTTGCGACTAACTTAGGCACTCTTTTGTTTAATGTAGCAAATTTCAGAGAGCGGATATGATCCCCAGCATGGGGTCATTCAGAAAACAAGCTAGAATGAGACTAAAAATATGCCTATTTGAGATATTTTTTTTTTACTAAAAATGGGCTTTTCAGTTGTATTTAGTCGTGATCCTCTTGATGAATGATAAGTGTCTCAAGGCGCTTAAATAATACTGACTACTAGTCACAAATAGTCTCTAAAATTTGCGACCTTGGTCCACCCGGGTTTACTTTGTATACTTTAATACTTATACGCACAAGTTAAGGAATTTGTTAATTTACAAAACAAGAATAGAAGCTAGTCCTAATAGACTTTTTAATATCATTATGTATCATTAAAAACTATTTTATCATGTTGATCGAGATTGTTTGAAAAAAAAGTTTTTGGTGCAGGATGTAAAAACCAAATATTTTTTATTGGAGACCAAAATGCACGGCATGGAGGCAGAAAGGTGGAGGCATCGACATATAGTGTGAGGCGCGGCGAAGGTTTTGTGGGGCTTGCAGGAGGTTATTCTGCGTATCAGGAGGCTACGGAGATCCTTTCCCAGGGCCCACGGCAGCCCTGCATCCCCTCCCTTCAAAATGTGGCTGTGTGGTAGGCACAGATCAGGTAGATAGAAATGTTGGCTTGACTTGTACCGGTTGTCTGACAAGTTTTTACATGCCGCAATATTCATGTAAAATAGCACAATGGGATAGTATTTTTATAATTCTAGTCACGCTCCCTCCCTGGAACCCATGGACACATGGTGGAAATATACATTATCCAACAAATTCTACACCTTGATTGATTGATTAACTAGAAATATACAGCTACATGCATGCAGCTGACTGTTTAGTAATTTTCTTTTAAGAGCTAGATAGGCAGGCGTTCCTCGTCAAGGATTTTTCTATGACTACCTGTTTTGTGTTGTAGGACAAGAAGATTGCAAATTGAGGGTAGGACTGGGACCAGGCTTATAGTTCAGGTATTGGGATAAGTTTATAGTACATTTGTAGAATGTGAATATGAAAACAAATTTTGCAAAAACAGTTCACTTTTAGTTCTCAATTTTAAAGTTCACAATGAATTAAAAAAAGTTTAAAGACGCCAATACCGAGTCCGACTCCATGATCATAGGCTGTATCTGACTCTTCATCTGTACATAATAAAAGATAAAACACGGTAAATTAAAGTAATATTGAATATTTGAGATCAAAGCAAAATAATTTCATAATTTACCTTCAGTTTCCACTAAAAACTTTTTAGTTTGCACAATTAATGCCATGGAGATTATCACAACTAAAACTGGACCAGGATTCATTTTTTTAGTAAATCAAACAATAATATATCTAAATAAATGGTTTAATACAACAACGTTTTTTTTACTATCTATGGCAAATTGTAAGATTAAAAAATGAAAAAAATTATTTCCATTTTATTCGGGTGGAAGCAAACTTTGAATTGTGCTTAAAAACAACGTCTTTAACTTTGATGCGTCAGCTAAAGTCGTCGCTAAAGGTCATCTTTTACGGAAAAGCTGCTGTAATAAAAGCCCACATTACCGTACATATTTCACAAAAACTAAAATGTTTTGTGAATGGTACTTGTATTGTTTTATTCGTACGTGATATGAAATTTGTCTTTCTTTATATAAAACTGTGCACATGGTTCTTCTTAACCCTATTCCTGCTGAGGGGGGG